AATATAAATAACTCACTGTCAGTCAAATATCACAAAATGTGTTGTAATTGGCTGTTCAAGTTCACGACATGTCAGCAGCTAGTTTTTCCTTTTGAACCTGTTCTAAGATATTTCTTGTCTATAGGTTTCCATGCAATTTAACATAAATATGGATATCGCGATATGTATTGTAACATGACCTTGTATCATGATACATATCGTATCGTGAGCTTGCTGTATCATTTCACCCCTAACCCTGGGCCAAAAAAGGTTAATCATTGTTAAAAAGCCAAACCTATCATAAACTTAGCTCCTGACAAATAGACTGACAGAAAAGTCCACACACTTGTATAGATATATCATGAGAGACAGGACATAGTGCTTATGCAAGGACTTAATAACAGAAAGAAATGAGGCAAAGGAACAGGTCAACATTCAGTCATTATTTAGGTCATATCTCAAGTATATTTTGTTTTCATTAAGGAATCACATTCCCGGATGTGTCTCAACAAGTATGTTAATTCATTAAATTTGTGCTACATTATTCATATGAACTTATTTTGCAATGTTCATACAGTATGAAATTAATATAAAATCAGCAGATTACCAATATGTGAAGAGATCCTTCAAACATTTAAACACCAAGTTAAATACTAAAGTACATCATGTACATGGCGACATCAACATAAACATGATAAATAGCAGATGGCTCTGTATCCTCTTATGTTCCGTATACAAGGAAGCAAAATATGCACATGCATAGACGTCAGTTTAAGCACCAATTAACATTGAAATACTGAACATCCTTTTCCTGTATTTAATGTCTAAGACAATGCCTCCAAAATGAGGGGCTGTGGGTCAACTTGTACTGGCAATGCTTAGTATCTTGTTACAAGATCAAAGGCTTTTGTCAGATAAGGGGAAATTGCCTACTGGCATTTCTCCTTTGAAAACAATGACACTGTATGTGCATTGAGATATTTCTAACACATTTGGCCCAACAATTATGAAGCCTCATAGCCTGGGGGTGGTGGCATAACTTGTTGCTCAATCAGTAGACCTGGTAAGGCAGTAACACATTGTTCAAGTGGTAGTCATGGTAACAGTACATGATGGTGGAAGTGGTAATTAACATGAGGTGGGTGAGGTGAAATGGGGTTTAATATGGAGTTCAAAATTATTGCAGTTGTAAAGTGACGTGCATGCATGTGTGTGTGTGCGTGTGCGTGTGCGTGTGCGTGTGCTTTCACATGTCCGGATGAATACCGAATGCTAGGCTTCTTAGGTACCATGCCGCAGTTCAACATGAATATCCCACACAGACACAGTACACTGACTCCAAGCCAACCAGTCCTTGTGTTAGCCCCTTAGTGCCGAGTCCCAGGCAGAGTAACAAGTACCATAATTTAACGTCTTTTGGTATGATGCGGGTAAGGATCGAACCCATGACCTTTCCGCACTCCAAGCACATACCTTATCCATAAGACCACGGAAATCATGAAATGAGCAACATATTTCGGAACCTTGAGAGAAACATACAACAAAAGCTATGGAATAAACCAAAACAATTTCAAAATGACAAGTATAGCATCAATCTTAAACTTGAGGTTGGAACTAGGCAGATTTTCATCTATTAATTGAAATCTTAAAACCATGCAAGAAAACATGACATATTTAGTTGATAATGCATAGCCCATTACATAACAGAGCTATTACTTAACATAAGAAAATCTTCACCAACTGACAAGTTCATCATCATGATCATGTTTCAATACTCATATCACTTATTGATGCTAACAAACACTACTCTAATACCTGTACCACAACTTGATTCGTCGCAAAGAGATTGGTATGAATTGTAAAACCAATCGTGTCCCTATCTTTCGTTGAGACCTTTATGTTTATCCTTACATACTTGACAATGTTGACACAAATAAAATTTGCAACAAAACAAACACTACAAGTACAAAGTTTTTATTCCATTCTATAAACTTTGCCGACTAAAGCGACAGTTTACTCCTCTGAAAAAAGCATCAGTCATACAACCATGTTGATCCTGATAGATTTACAAACAGTACACTCTCAGTACTTCCTTACAACTGATTACAGTTGTTCAATTTATGTGAAAGGCACTCATTATCCTTCCAGCATGTTCTTAATCTAATATAGTTCCTAAGTTCAAGCAAAGAAGCAGGGGCAAAGTAAAGTGGCAACATACTATCCTGATTATTTTGATAAATTAAGTTCATCATGTGCACAGATGCAGTTGGCTTCCTGCCAAATACAGCAATATGCAAATCTGACATGAGTCAAATTATATATATATAAGCTTTCAAGATACAAAGTCCACTTAAATTGTGAACAGCCATGACTACATTCCTGGAGATCTCAAATAGTCAAATCTTTCTACAGTCTTCTCACAACTTATCTCATGAGTATTCAAACATTTCATATACAGTAAACTACGGTTACAATGAACTCAAAGAGACCACTAATTTTAGTTTGTTATAATCGTAGTTATTCATTAGCATATATAAGTTCGGCACTAAAATCCATTATTATTATTATAATTATTATTATTATTCAAAACACATACTGCCTGTAATAAACATACGAGGAAACTATCTTGGGACTGAAACATATAATTCAACACGCCATATTCTTTATAACATGTGTTGATGCTTTTCCTTATCAAAAGCAAACCAAGAATGACAAGACAAGTTTATAAATTAGTATTTAAGAATTAGTGAGTGAGTATTTTGTTTAGGTTGCTTTTAGCAATATCACCATGGGGGGGGGGGAGGGGACACCAGGAATGGGCTTCACACATTGAACTCATGTAGGGATTTGGCGTGACGAGCCAAAAACATAAACAGAAGTAACCGACAATCATAATAAAGCATTCAAACAACATAAGACCTTTACTATTACAAGTGCAATGATAAAGCATGATACACGTTACTATGATATTAGGTGGAGTTAGATATGGTATGCATCATAAATATGCACAATAAATTTTGTCAATATGGCAATCACATATAAATTGTGCGGTAAAATTACCAAACTTCCGCGGTAAATACATTACCATTTCCTCCTCAAACACCATCTTAGAATATCATCCTTAGAGAGATTACTACAAGGTACAAAAGCAACACTACATTTCATGGCGTACGTAAACTTCAATGCCCCAGTTGGCAGTGGAGGGGGCGGCAACTGAGGCGCATCATCAATCTTGCTCTACCAATCTGGATTGACACTCTTGTCATATATTTCACATAATAAATTCAATAACATAATCTTAATCCGTTTTAACCATTTCTCAATTTTTATGTGTCATCGGCAATCACGTGAGAACACTTAAGTAATATGCTGCTAGTGTGTATATGGTAAACGGCTTGCACCATTGATGAAAGGTGAGCTCGTTAATTAGGCTTGATTGGATATTGGACAGATCCAAGTCAAAACTATGATAAATATAGCATTAATTTGCAGGGACTGGAGGGTGAGTTGGCGACAACCGAGAATGCGACAAATCCAAGTTCGACTGCATTTCAAATTTAGTTTTATTGTAGGATTCATAATTAGTGTGTTTAAACTGCATGCTTGGGCATCATTCAAATGCAAAATAGATAGAAAAATCTTTGAAATAATGAAAATTAGTGAACTGATTGATAGAAAAAGGGGACCTCCACGATTTGTCTGCAATTCTGCGGTAAGTTACATTTTCTGCAAATCTTTCCGTGATCGCAGAATTGCAGAATACGTCACTGAATAAAGTTATTGACCTAACCAAAACATTCATTCTAAATTCAGAAACGAATATGCCCCTGAACCAATGTCTCTTTCATAATGGTCTCATGCAACACTAACCATGATAACATGACTTAGTCATGTTTTCCCGTTTCTTCACACTAATGAAGTACCTTAATATCATTGTTACATCCAACACATACATCCAACATTGATGCCATGCTCAGTTAAAAGTTCAAATTCCCATGCTCAGTTAAAAGTTCAAATTCCCATTCATGCTAATAACATTCTTTGTTAAGATAAAAATATTGTTTGTGTCAAGGACTTTGCAAATACATGCATCAAACCGGGCATTGACCAATGACCATGCTGGCACTAGTGAGTGAGTGAGTTGGGCTTAACGCCGCTTCTAACAGTATTCCAGTTATATCACGGCGTGTCAGCTTAATGTGGGAGGATGGCCCGGAGTGATGCAGGTCTCAGACGTTTACCACCCCTGTGAAACCCACGAGCACGGGTTTGGTGCTGACAAACATAGAAACATAATCGGGGCGAACCGGGATACGAACCCACAATCATAGGTTTCTGGCATGCCCAAGGGACGCAACTCTGCACAGCGAATCGCGGCGCCTTAGATGACTGTGCCACCCACTGACACTAGTGACAGCCATGGATTGCATTATGATACTGATTGATTGATTGGTTGGTCGGTTGTTTTATGCCGCACTCAGCAATATTCCAGCTATATGACAGCGGTCTGTAAATAATCGAGTCTGGACCAGACAATCCAGTGATTGATGTCATGGGCATCGATCAACGCAATTGGGATCAATGACATGCTTTAACCAAGTCAGCAAGCTCGACCACCCGATCCTTTTAGTCGTTTTTTACGATAAGCATAGTCGCCTCTTACGACAAGTATAGTCACCTTTTACGGCAAGCATGGGTGGCTGAGGATCTATTCCACTCCAGATCTTCATGGGAAGCATTATGTTACGGAATTGCTTTAAGCCTTGTTACATCAGTTTAATTCTGATGAATTACAAATTGACACACAATCTATGGATTATATAGGGGAATTCAAATTAATGATCAAATGAACATTTGTTTTTTTCATTATCTGCTACAAGTTGCATTTAAAATACCCTCAGGAAACCAAAAGTTACTTAAGTCTTGGCTTGATAAAAACTTGAAATACAAAAACATGAAAGAAGAGTGATAACAGAATAATTAACATATGAAGATAGGCTTTATGTAATCTGCATACTTACACTGTTGGGATGTACTCTCCTGGGAAAGCATTTGTTGTGTAGCTGATAAGGAGACATGTTTTACCAACAGCTCTGAAAAAAAGAAGGCAGAGAATTAGAATATCAACATCCAACAATGATCACCTGATGTGCTAACAATATTGAAGTAAATACACATGAATAACAACAAAACTGTCATCATGTAATCAGGGTTAATATTAATTCATATTTTCACTAGTTAGTTAAAATGATCCGCTAAAGAGTTGCCATCTACCTAATGGTTAAAAATGGTAGTCCACGACAAAAGAACACTAGTCTACCCCTTGAATTATACTACACTCATACAAGTAGACTGAATCCTGAATACTATCTCTTAGGGCTGCAACGAATACACTATGAGGCGAATATGATTTGATTCATGAATATAGGGTAACAAATACGAATATTAATTCACGAATACAATAACAAGTCAGCAGCTGATGTATTATTTGTTATATTCAGTGAAGCAATAACACCAAATTATTTTGACATGGTTTGTTAATTATTTATATATTATACATTTATATACTGCACTTATCCAGGTACTAGTATCTGCTCAGATGCAACAATGACCAGTGACCACAATACTGTTAAATTTAATATTAGAAGAGTGTTGTCTTTTGAAGAAATCTATGCATATAATATGTTCTTATGGGCATTTGTATGTAAATGCACATGCTTGCATATTCATAAATATTCGATTCTTGTGGCCACGAATAACGAATTCAATTCTTGAAAGGATATGGTTCATTTAAGCGAATATGCGAGTGAATCGTAGCACTAGCAGCCCTAATATCTCTACTCTCTATTTGAGGAGTGAGTGAGTGAGTGCATGTTGTTCAACAAAGTAGTCAACAATTTCAGCTATATCATGTATAACATGAAACCTTGTAATTTAGGAAGTTGGGATAAGGGCAATCATGGTCTGAAAACATGTACAAAGATTCCAGCCAAAAGGGTATGATTGCACGCAATTAGATGCGTCACACAGCCTGACCACTTGTTCCTTATTTAAGTAGGCTCTTGTGATAAACGTGAGGTTCTGGGGACCTATTCAGACCTGGAATCATTACAGGGGTTGTCCCAATGTACTGATGATGAAGGGAACAGCGCCTGGGTCTCAGGAAAGTGAGCATGGTTCGTGGAAGGTATAATAAGGCTACCTTTCATGCCTTACCAACCATGTTGATCATTGTTGATTGAGTGGATCAATACTGTTTCATGTCAACAGTACACCTGCAACCCCCTTGAACACACCCCCACCAACCTCTTATCATGAATGACTAGCAAATTAGAAGGTGATGTGACATTAGGTGATAATGTTAAAGTTACCAAAAGTGCGAGAAAAATAGGTAGGGGGGAACTATTCTGTCTTCGAGCCCCCACAGGGTGTTACAAATACACTGTGTTACAAATTCCACATTTGAATGAATCTATGTGATTGGGATTTATCGTAAGTATCAATCGCTACAAGTTTGGGTTAGAGGAACGGAATAATTAGATTCATATTTTTTCAGCCTTGACTGTGCTCTTGACATGATACCAGAATCAAGTTAACTTTTTATTACACTTGAAAATTAAATGACAGGATGAACCTAATGCAAGTTACTAAAGTCCAAAATACTGGCTACTTGAACTCGTAATGGTTGCTGTGACATAAACACACACCATATGGTGTTCAGGCAGTGAATGCTGCATATTTTTCTCTTCTTTGTCAAATATACCGTGACAGGTCAAACAATCTTTATCACTTCCTCATTTGTGATGCTTATCATATGTCAATCATTCAGCGTTACAATTTCGCCTTATCACCATGGCCGTGAGTAACTATACAAAGAGGAAGTAAACAAATCAGCTCCTCATACATACTCTCTATAACCTAAACCTGTACTGAAATTGTATTGTATATCTGGGGTCAGTGCAACACACTATCCCCATATATGTAATAACAATGAACATGAATGCTTTGAATATCATGAATACATCCAGTTAAGAAATAAATTCAACATTTTCCAAAAAAAAAGGTTTGTGAAAATGTATGTGCTCTGCTGGTTTGTATGACACATTAAGGTGATAACCATCATGTTTGATCATATTTTAACATCTGAACAATATACATTATTTTCTTTAGTGTAGACACATGCTAGAACAGGGATGTGAAATGTTTTAAGTTGTAGACTGGGACCATTATGTTAAACATTTAATTTTTTAAACTTTTTTTATGCCATGTTATGCTAAACCAGCGGTAGAGACTAACAGGTTTGATCCACTAGTCCTTATAATGACGCCATATAGAAAAGGGGAAAATTTCTACTAGTCCTTATGATACCTTAAACCTTAACAATTGGGCAGTTTGGAAAGGACTACAGGAGTGTGCCAAACATTAAACTGCAAACATTATGTTTATGTACTACAATCTTTTGGTGTCTGTGTGAATATTTCCTATTAGTATTTATTATGCTAGTTATCGTTACATGTACAAAACATATTCAGGTACACATACACAGACATCAACATCCTGTAAATAATTATGCACAGTCGTGTTTGGAAATAGGGGTGAAATGATACAACACATATCACAGATACATAGGTCAAGGTATGATACGTATCGAGATGCGAAACCTTTTTCTCATAAATATTTCACAGGTGTTTCAAAAGGAAAAGCTAGCTGCAGAAATGTTTGTAGTAGTTGCTATTTTAGTAGTGAATTTAAAAAAAATTACAATACAGTTTGCAACATGACTGTCAAAAACGTTGGGTGGGTGTTGGGGTCAGTAAACGAGTACCGGTAGTAAGTAACATACTTTAGCAAGTGTTTTATCTTTATCGATACAGAAAAAAACATATCGTGTATCAGGTAGTCGCATGAAACCTCACCATGCTCCAGCATGTGTCCAGTGTATCGTTTTGGTTTGATGCTAATTTTCTGCTGTATTTTCTCTATATATCATCACAATATATGTATGATGTATTTTCAAAAGGCAACTTCACACAGGCAACATAGGTTTGCAAACACAACCCAAATATGTTTGCAAACTTGTGTTTTCATCATAATGTTCATAATACAAATATATGTTGTTAATGTGGGAACTGCTAGAAGGTTTAGTGTATGATACTAACATCACTTGGTCATTGACATCAACATTGACAAAAGGATCCACTATTGTGAAATTGTTCTTAATAGAATGTTAGTTGTTACCGGTACTCTGTGTTTGTTGTTTAACACAGCACTCAACAATATTCCAGCAGCCTGTAAACATTCAAGTCTTGACCAGACAACCAATTGTGCGAAGTGATCAACGTCGTAAGGGTATGAATACACAAATTCAACTATCACAACTTAACTAAATATGCAGCAACTTTGAATTCGAATGTTAACATGTTTATTAAGTTTTGGTCAAGCTGTCATTTACTATTTTAGAAAATGTAGTGACAAGTCTAATATGTATGCGCAACTTATGTAAAATGCAACAAAAATAATAAATTAGAAATTTTTTTTTTTTAAAATTCAACCAAGTCACAGAGCCAGTGTTGACAAGCCGATCCATTTGGCACTTATAAAACCAAATGGGTTGCTGAGGACCAATTCTAACCCCAAATACCAATAGGGTAGCTGTTACTAACTTGTATGTGTATGGAATCACTCACAAAATCCCAATCAGTTGTTATTTCACACCAAGAGACTAATGACACTGACAAGACCCTGTTACTTAGAATAAGTCAAATATTAATCTGAGAAAAATTATCAGTTGATCCATGGGAGGTATACTGATAAGACAATTCGTAGACAGGTCAAATTAGTAACAAAATCTTCTTAAAAACAATGAAAATATGAGTGTCTATTTAATTATTTCTTAATAAGGGGATGATGCCTTATCAGTTATGTAGTTACATTACATATTCATGTAAGTATACCGAGCACGAAACATGTTTTTATGTGCTTCCTACATATCTGTGTTTCATGTTACTTGACTGTCTATGATCAACTTGTTGCTACCACACTATCAAACCTCTTCACAGTTCAAACAGTTAATTATCTGACATCTTCATCATTCACACATCTGACACATATAATCAACATATATTACACATAATAATTTGCACATATTATCTTGTATCATCTTCTTAAATCAAATAACAACACGCAGAATTCTACTAAATTAAGGAAGTGCCCACAACTGCAACTTCCTGTAAGCCGGCCCACAAGTAGGGCAACGCAAAATGTTGATGAAATCGTGTTGCTCCCAAAGCTCATGGCTGGACAAATTTGTTAAATTTCAAGCGAATTATCTTGCAATATCATCTGTCAGTAAATCTTGCCTGCATTTGTTAACTAATATTGAAGAATAAACGATCGACGCGCGATCGTGTACACCCATATTCAAGTTAGTCATGGAATGCCCGTTCAAAGCCATGATAAGATGGAGGAAAGTTTTGACCTGACTAGAAAATGTCGATCTCTGTTCGAAGTTGGACTTACCCGTCTCCTACGACCACACATTTGATGGCCTGCATATCTGAGAAAGTCTTTGACTTGAGTGTGTTGTTTGTTAATCGGACGGGTGTCACTAGGATCCGTGTTTAGATAGATAATTGTAACGAGAAAATGGCTGTCGCAAAGTTTTATACCCAGAGCAGAACGAGTTATAAATAGTAACGCCGAAAATAGACGCGATATGGCGGAGATCAGCGAAAATGTTCGTCGCTTACATTAAACACAAACGTAAAATGTGGTCTATTTTTATACCTCTCCACTGATAGGCCAGATCTTTATATTGTATTGCAACTGAACATAACTATACATATACACTGGGATGACTGGGGGAATTTGTCGTCTAACTATTAGCAAGATATAAAAATATTTACATTTATTAACGTTACAAGCGACGGTAATGAATGCATCATGGCGGCACTTTGGCAACAGGTGCTCGCTCTTGATGCGAAATACAACGCTTATCGTGCACCAAACCACCCACAATTTAGTAAGTTGTGCTTTGCTGCTAAACCATATTCCCTGTATTTATCCATCTTATATAAATACTTCAATGAAGAATTAGATGACATGAAACTGGTAACCACCCAAAACACACCCATCTGACGTCCCACTTAGCTGCTACTTGGGGGTAGACCAAATGTTTTCAATTACATCACTTTTACAACCACAGAAACGACCAGCTTTCGTGACATTATAGGTGAAGTGTGTTTAATGACTAAAGTAACAAAAAATAATAGTTTCACATTTGAAAAAAGTCGTTTCATGGGTTCACAATAATCTGGTGTTTAATGAGAGGCCATACAGACTACCTGTATGAATTGCTATTAATATCATAAGCTAACCGTCCCTTGTCGTTTTACTCATATGTTAAAAAAAAAGAATTGACTGTAGTGTATTTCATGGTTTGTTTAGTCTGAATAGACCAACAAAGAGGTTAGAGGTAATCACAGATCTTTGAATAATATCCCATTCAAAGTATTATATCTCATTTGTGAGAGCGTGTGAGTGAAATTGAACACTATCTTAGTGTGTCAGCTTGATGTGGGAGGAAAATCCAAAGTGATACTGGCCACAGATGTTTACATACCTCAATTGGAGAATAACTGTCACATCCCTGCGTATCAGAACTAATTTGTAATTTGCTGTGAAACAGTCCATATTTTAGCAATTAGTTATACAGTTAATTGTTTTATGATCTTTTACTCTCTCATTCTTCCACTTTGAATCAACAACTTTTTCGAGATAATGTTTACTTAAAAAGAAGTTATGTACAAGTACACATGTGTGTGCAACATAACCAATTGTTATAGAAACATATTCCACATCTTGGAAGTGATTGGGACTAAACATATTACAATTTTCATGATATTATTTGCCATTCAGGGCATATACAATTCTTCAGTAGGGGTGTTATGCCTTGATTGACATATTATTCATCGATCTGTGGTTATTTATCATGTTCATCCCAGATTATGTGTAGATAATATGTCAACAAATTAATCTTTATAAATATAATTTGACTCTTGCACACATAGAAGTTTTGACATTGTAGCTAAATTCTGCTCCGCTTACTATGTGACATCTACTGGTCACCATTACATAGCTATAAGCCCCTCCTACAATAACATTCTTATACTATAGAATCCGATTCTAACTTTTCATGAGCCTTCAGTTCACATGCTCTGTTAGGTTGCATATTTACATTATTATGAAAGTTAGAGCATTGTGTAAGTTTTGTATCCACTAGTTTGAAAAACTTTTAGCTCTTAAGCACACCAAGTATATTTGATTAAAAGTGTATGTTGACATAAAAAGAAAATATGAACAAATAGTGTCCACAAATTCAGCATCAGTTGCCTTTGGTTACTAATTTTGAACTACAACAGAGAGAAAACTTGACGCCTTCCTATTTCTAGTGACCAGTAGATGTCAAGTAGTATAAGCACAAGGACGTTGCTCTTATCAAACACTGATTTGTCTGTTCCTTATTGATTAATCACAGGCTGCTCTGATATTGCTGGAATATTGTTGACTGTAATGTAAATCAACAAACAAACAAACATATGAACGTTAGGCCCAAGGCCTACAAAAATAGCAAGAAGGCCAACTGTTATTTAGTCAGTAGTCAGTTAGGTCAGTTGGGATGCTATGCTCACAGATGTTAGTATGTAGTAGCTATTGATTGCTTGTATCACCAGGCTCATATGCTAAATAATAGTCCTATTTAATTTGGAATTCCACAAATAAACAAGCAACACCAGGAAGAATTTTGGAGTTGGATGGCTAGTGGATGGGTTTGGAAGGTCATTTCTTTTCAACTGCATCTGGTCTTGCTCCCCAGCAGAATATGTGTGTCAGATCCAGACTTGGAGTTTGTCTTTCCTTGCTTCCAACTGGTCTTTGTCCCCAGCAGAATTTTTGTGTTAGATCCAGACTTGGAGTTTGTCTTTTCTTCCTTCTTACACTTTTTTTCAAACTGTAAAGAGTGAATCTATGATCTTTTTCAAATCCCCAACATACTCATGAGAATACATTCGATTCAGTTTTGGAAATTGTTCAGTCATCAACTTTCACCACTATTCTGAACACTGCATATTGTATGTCTCTTAAGATGCCTTTCAGTTTAGTGACTTTACTTTGTAAGAAGTAAATTTACTCAACATGCCGAAGAAACCGTGGAGGGACAAATTTAGACAGTTAGAAGGAAAAGGAGAACAACATATTCATTACTTTAAATCTAATGTAATAACTGTTCATATATTTATTGGTCTATTTGTGAAATAATGTTTGTTAAATTATAATTGTATTATTTTTAATTTTGTTCATGTTTTTCAGAGTTATTATTTAAAACATCTTCTATATTCCTATTTGTTTCCTCATTACGATTATGGGTGTAATGATATATCCAACTATCGATGTATTGTATTTGCTTGCCTTATGATTATACTATATGATATAAGATAGGCATTTTAGATGGTAATAGCATTCGTAACAATTGAGTCGCAGTAGTCGCAGTTAGTTAAACAAGACATAAATATTGGATCACAAAAATCAGTTTATAAGGTCAAATTAGCAAGGGTTACAATAACTTCAGATTAAAGTTACATTCCTTTTGTTTAAGTAGCGACAGGGAGGAAAATGTACAACTTTGACATTGTTTGAAATACTTTATTCACTCCTATGACATTGACTAAGATAATTGTCAAAACTTAAAGTTGGTTTTATACTATCAAAATATTATTAAAATAGCTGACACCTTAGTGGGAGGTACTATTGTATATACTATTGCAATAGTAAAAATAGCCGGAATATTCACCCCTATGTATTACCTAAGTATCTATATGTATTTTTGTTTGCGACAGAATATGTTTTTAGTCAGCAATGGTGCACATTAAATTTGTATTAAAAAATGCCAGCATGGTTCCACTGTTGTTAGCTCTCCCGATGGTGCTCAGCTTTAAGCAGCCTTTCAATGCTGGAAATCCTTGGTAGAAGTAACCAGAAATCCTTGGTAGAAGTAACCAGAAATCCTTGGTAAAAGTAACCAGAAATCCTTGGTAAAAGTAACCAGAAATCCTGGGTAGAAGTAGCCAGAAATCCTGGATAGAAGTAACCAGAAATCCTTGGTAAAAGTAACCAGAAATCCTTGGTAAAAGTAACCAGAAATCCTTGGTAGAAGTAACCAGACTACAGCGCTGGGAATTCTAAAAACTTGCCAGCATGTGCATTCAACCAAAGACTTATCAGATCCGTTTCCCATAGCTTGCAATGAACTATACTGCTCCACAAAACTGATTTTCATGATGTCAAGTGTATGTTTAAATAAAAAGACATATATGATTATCCCTATCAAAATGTGGGTAGTATATTTCGACATCTCTTAAAGTTGCAATGATACAGGTTGGTCAGTGACTTGCCATGCTTACACAGGATAGACAGGGTGGAAATATGGTTTCCCCTGCTCCTGAGGGCTGAATGTCATCATATGTTCTAGAAATGAAGCTGCTTTTATAGTGCTAGCCCACTGAGATACCATGCCACAGAGGGGGCACGGGTGGCCCAGACGTCTAAAGCGCCGCAATTCGCTGTGCAGAGTTGCATCCCTTAGGCATGCCAGAAACGTATGATTATGGGTTCAAATCCCGGTTTTGCCCCGATTATGTTTCTAGGTTTGTCAGCACCAAACCCGTGCTCGTGGTTACACCGAACGGGTAAACGTCTGAGACCTGCATCACTCCGGGCTTTCCTCCCACATTAAGCTGACACGCCTTGATATAACTGGTATACTGTTAAAGCGGCGTTAAACCCAACTCACTCACTCACCCACCATGCCACAGTTTAACATGGATGCTCCACTCAGACTCAGTATACTAACACTGAACCGACCAGTCCTTGTTTTAAGTATCGCACGCCAGGCATGGTTATCCTATTTTTTAAATACCAAACAGTATTTAGCATAAAGGATTTGATATTGACTTGTCTCATATTTCTTTTAGGAACTCTATATATACGAAGAAGAAGTCAGCTGTTAAGGGAGAATGCCAAGAGCGAGGTATTTATGTTTGATCAAATAAGCTATATTTTGATATGTATAATGATGTCCCTTCATTCCCTCTACAGAGACATGGTTTGCCCAGTCCTCTAAGGCTCTGCAATGCGCTGTGCCAGAAACCTATTATCATGGGTTTGAATCCTGGTTCGCCCTGATTATGTTTCTTGGTTTGTCAGCACCATACCCATGCTGGAAATAAACATTTAGCAATTCATGTTGTTTTAGTTATGACTACTGGTTTTGCTTTGCAGATTTTTTTTTTTACTGCTAACATGACATATAAAGAGGATGAAAGAGGCTTTAATGCTAATCGTTTTACACTATTGCCTTGAACGAAACGCATTTAACAAAAATCCAAATCTTGATAAAAGAATGATTGCCAAGGACACATAGTTTGGAATCCTAGATATATCCCTGACATCAAATGGCGCTTTAGTACCACATTATTCTGACATGCCATGATATGACTTAAATATTGTTCAAGACTTCATTTTAAGCACCACTGACTTATTTATAAAGATATAACCATGATAACAATTGTATGTTATGCAGATGTGGCATTAATAGGATTTCAAACCCAGGCATTAGTTATCTGTCTGAATTTACTTTGAAATGACACTGACCCAAAATGCTCCATGTTTGTCCATCTGTAGCGTGACCAAACAGCAAGACGTGACTACCTTCACATGCGGGCCCAGCTCCTCACATCACGATACGGAAGTCCAGCTTTCTCGGATGGAGGGTGAGTATATGTGCTAGTATTTAGAGCTTCATGCAGCCATTTCTTGGAAGCAAGGAATGTATTGCTTGCTCCATCTGTCCACATAACTCTATCATAGCATTCTACCATGTCACGACTGATCTTCCCGAGTCCCCATTGCAGGGTTTTACACAACGCAGAAATGTGCAGCCAGTATCCACAAACGTATACAAGGTATAGAGTGTGGTGTTAAACAACAAACAAACATGATATAGAATTAACAGTGTTAGAAAAAGATGTGCCCCAAGGGACGCCTAAGTACCAGATTCTTGACAAGAAATATAGAGGTCCTCTAATTAAGAGAATTTACAAATCTTACAGTACAGCACACCAGACCAATTCATTACTTAACAGGACCTTCATATTTCCTGTAAGAACCCTTGAAATTAATCATCAGGAGTCCCTTGCACCCCCTGTTTTGTAAGTCGAGATAAACACCATGCCATTGGGATTTGGATGAAGTGTAGGTTACCAGGGCCCACTTGCACAAAGCTATCTTAGCGCTAAGATGATCGTAACTCCCATACTTTAACATAGGCTTACAATAGTTGCAGCGCTAAGATCGCTTTGTGCAAGTGGGCCCAGTACTCCATGTTTGTCATAAGAGGCGACTGATGAGGATTGAATGGTTTACAACATGTACGTGTGATTCAACTGTATTGGTGAAAAGTTCTGAATGCAGTATTAAAATCCTAAAAATAGGTGTTAAAGTATAAGTAGGGGGCAGTTTCCCAGGGGCAGTTTTCATATCGGGGCAGTAACAAGAGTACAATTTTCCAGGGGTACAATTTTCCCGAAGCGTAGTATTTGGGAATAAGAAGCGATAAGGATAATTATAAATGACATTTTTAATCATAAAAAAATTGCTGTATAACCCTGTTGGAAAGAGATGATGACTTCTCTTTTCATCACTGCCACTGACTTCCATGTTTTATTGTTGTAGGAGCATCAGGAGTCGATCTTTCAGCATCCGCAGCAATTGCAAAACAACAGGGGAGGTAAGTACACCGCTACACACTGTTAGACACACACTAGTCTGCTTGGTCCAGACAGCGAAAAGTCGCAACAACAAGTTTTTGACAGAAAAGGTAGTTACATTCACAACTACTTTGAAATAATTGTTGACTAGTTTGATGATGCTTAATGCGGGTGTATTCCTCCATGACAAAGTCAACAGAATAACAGTTGACTGACAATAAGGACACATGCTTCGTGGGCAATATCTTGTACATGTGGCTTCCCTGTGAATGAAAATAAATAGCAGGAATTTGTATAGCTCCATATAGGGATGTAACAATATGTCTATGCACTTCTTAACTGCAATGCGGGGGCACGGGTGGCCCAGTCGTCTAAGGCGGCGCGATTCGCTGTGCAGAGTAGCGTCCCTTGGGCACGCCAGAAACCTATGATTGTGGGTTCGAATCCCGGTTCGCCCCAATTATGTTTCTAGGTTTGTCAGCACCATACCCGTGCTCGTGGGTTTCACCGAAGTGGTAAACGTCTGAGACCTGCATCACTTCGGGCTTTCCTCCCACATTAAGCTGACACGCCGTGATATAACTGGAATACTGTTAAAAGCGGCGTTAAACCCAACTCACTCACTCACTCACTTAACTGCAATGCAGTTTGTCCAATATGATATGTAACAATACAATCTTACTGAAGTGTTTTTTATTGCATTTTCACAGTCAAGCCTGTACTGTAATATAAAGCATTCGACATGCTAACAGCCATTCAACTACTAAGGTCTGACCCATGAAGATCAGATTATTTACAGACCACCGTCATATAGCTGGAATATTGCTGATAGCAGCATTAAACGGCAAACAAACAAACAAAACTTGAACATGGAGCATAGGGTTTCATGATGTGACAGGTGATATGGGATAAGTGAAGAAGTGATATGGGTGGTTGCCAATACCACAAGCTGCAGATCCGATCCATAAGTCTCTGCAAACACAGGTCCATGCATTGCCAGACATTTCTATTGTGTCACATGTGGCTCAATATATATTCTGTTGTGCTCAGGTTGTTATACTCTACATCTATTAGTTCCGATCCTCTGGAGGGCGGTCGGGTAGCCTAGTGGTTAAAGCGTTCGCTCGTCATGCCGAAGACCCGGGTTTGATTCCCGACATGGGTACAATGTGTGAAGCCCATTTCTGGTGTCCCTCGCCGTGATATTGATGGAATATTGCTAAAAGCGGCGTAAAACCATACTCACTCACTCCGATCCTCTGGGCTTCACGTATCAGAAGCCACACAAGTATTAGTGAAGAGGGCGCCCCACTGAGGATAGCCTCCAAACATCTGGATGGTCACCAATACTACAATCTGCAGACGCCGCTGGTATCTATGTGATAAGCGTGTGTTGTGTCAGGATAAGAAATATTCTACATGAATTATGGATATTCATGACATTAGTATACTTATCCTGACAACTGTCCCGACTGCCCATCCCTGTATGACTATCAAGCGAAGACAGTGAATGGATCAGGGACAGATAACTCCTGTTGGCAACCAAGTGCAGGGGGCGCCCCGGGGGAGGAAGAGGAGATGTTTTGGGTTCTGTGTTATAGGATCGAAATCAAGAAGGAAATGGCAACTTGTTGTGTCCAGATACGAATACTAATATCATGAATATCCAAGTTCATGTAGTTTGGTCCTGATTATTTTCAGAGTTTTGATTCCATCACCCTTAGTGATGGACGGAAGTACCATAGGCGTCACATGAGCAGTGGCTCCCTCAAGCACCTTTATGAAGGGCCTATGAAGAGAGTGTTTGACAGCATTGAGGTTGTACCTACCTCTGCAGCAGAGGCAAGCAGGTGAGAGTGTTTGACAGCATTGAGGTTGTACCTACCTCTGCAGTGGAGGCAAGCAGGTGAGCTGGGTTATTGCAAACCTTAATATTACTTTTTGAAAACCGACTGAATAAAAACCTGAACTTACACATGGGTACACAGCATGGGGAAATTTGCAATGCATCAACACTACGCTGAATTGTGAAATCCCTGCCACACACTGATGTAGTGTTTTCTCGAAGAACTATAACTGTCAACACCACCCTGAGTACATAGTCATCGTCTTACATTTACAGAGCTATGGTTGGAGGGAAGAGTCTGTCAGAGAACTATGCCTTTACTGGTATGCATCACATCTTCGACCAGCACTCTGCATCAGGTGAGCTATAGTGAATCCATTTTGTTTGTTCCTACACATCTATCCAGCTCCAAGTAACGTGTACAGGAAATGTGTACATGCCCTTTTCTTACTCCAGATTTTATGAATGCTTCCAGCAGAACTAGTTTTGCACATACAATCAAGTGTTTAACCTGTGTGGGAGTCAAGTAATTTACTCGTGTGTGTCACACATGCTATGACCAAGTTCACTCAGAATGTAGGGGTGGTTGAAATATCCTTGGAGATAATAAGTGTCACTCACTGATACACAAGAATCATGACTAAATATAATAATATTTCAACTGAACACTGAACAGCCTTCAATGCCTTCCATGTTGGTTGTTGTGATACGAGTCAACACGTTACACATAGATCTAGCATACCCAGTGGGGTTCCTTTACTGTGTTCATGATCTGTACCTTATCTTGCAGTTTCAAGTGTCAAGTTTGCCCATGATGACAAGTCCAGGGTGGCATGTTCGTCAGTGGATGGCACTCTGTCAATCTGTCAACTGGTACCACCTCCTGCTACTGTGATCTGCATGCTAAGAGGACACAAGGCTGGAGTGACGGGTAGGTAGCCCTGTGATTGGTTACTCTGTGGAGGGGAGGTGTAGTGCTCAGTGTGGGTTACCCTGTGGAGGGGAGGTGTGGTGCTCAGTGCTCAGTGCTTAGTGCTCAGTGTGTGGGTAGCCCTGTGGAGGGGAGGTGTAGTGCTCAGTGTGTGGGTAGCCCTGTGGAGGGGAGGTGTGATGCTTAGTGCTCAGTGTGTGGGTAGCCCTGTGGAGGGGAGGTGTGATGCTTAGTGCTCAGTGTGTTGGTAGCCCTGTGGAGGGGAGGTGTGATGCTTAGTGCTCAGTGTGTGGGTAGCCCTGTGGAGGGGAGGTGTAGTGCTCAGTGTGTGGGTAGCCCTGTGGAGGGGAGGTGTGATGCTTAGTGCTCAGTGTGTGGGTAGCCCTGTGGAGGGGAGGTGTGATGCTTAGTGCCCAGTGTATGGGTAGCCCTGTGGATGGGAGGTGTTGTGCTCAGTGTGTGGGTAGCCCTGTAGAGGGGAGGTGTGATGTTTAGTGCTCAGTGTGTGGGTAGCCCTGTGGAGGGGAGGTGTGATGCTTAGTGCTCAGTGTGTGGGTAGCCCTGTGGAGGTGTGGTGCTCAGTGTGTGGGTTGCCCTGTAGAGGGGAGGTGTGGTGCTCAGTGTGTGGGTTGCCCTGTAGAGAGGAGGTGTGGTGCTCAGTGTGTGGGTTGCCCTGTAGAGGGGAGGTGTGGTGTTCTGTCTGTGATTGGTTGCCCCGTGATTGGTTGCCCTGTGGGGGGAGGTGTAGAGCTCAGTGTGTGGGTTGCCCTGTAGAAGGGAGGTGTGGTGCTCAGTGTGTGGGTTGCCCTGTAGAAGGGAGGTGTGGTGCTCAGTGTGTGGGTTGCCCTGTGGAGGGGAGGCGTGGTGCTCAGTGTGTGGGTTGCCCTGTAGAGGGGAGGTGTGGTGCTCAGTGTGTGGGTTGCCCTGTGGAGGGGAGGTGTGGTGCTCAGTGTGTGGGTTGCCCCTTGATTGGATAGCTATGGTTACCATATCCCCTCATCCACTCATGTATTGGTATCAGTGTTACTATACATACTGGGAACTATGGATCAACTGCATGTGTGTGCCATAGAGTTTACAATGCATCTACAAACCCCTGAAGATCTGGGTAGAGAATAGGTCTTCAGCAATCGATACTTGTCATAAGAGGTGACTAACAGGGTCGGGTGGTCAGGCTCGCCGACTTAGTTGATCCATGTCATCGTATCCCAATTGTGTAGATCAATGCTCATGATATCAATCAGTGGATTGTCTGTTCCAGACTTAATTATTTACAGACCGCCGTCATATAGCTGGAATTGCTGAGTGCGGCATTAAACAACAAAGAAACAAACATACAATGTATCTACATCTCTGATTAGCAACAAATCATAAAATATGTTAGAACCTAAATACCAATCTCTTCCTTGATCACTTACCTCCGAATGTGCATGCTTTATTTCTTTGAAAGTGAACTTTGAATAACTTAGAGTGATTCATCTGTCTGTGTGTCCCAGGATGGCCCTTTGTCAGCACTCTGCTAACTCCCACAAATGTCAGTGTTTAAAATACCTGCCTGCCCCTACCGGCAGATGGTTTCACACCCGATGGTTACTCAGTTGGCAATCCACCAGTTTTATGTTATATTCTGAGAACTAACATTAAATAGTACTATTCATATGTTTACCCTTTTGTCACTTTATTTGTTAGTCTTTAAAGTTCTTGACTGGCAACATTTTATCTGGTCTGGTAACTTTGCACAGTTAACACTCCAGTTAACACTCCAGTTATCTGACTAAAATTTGGGGGAATTTTATGCACTGCATGTGTTGGGGTCTCACAGCATACTTAAAGAAGGATAGCATATCAATTGCTGCCATGATTATAACATTGTGAGTCTATTTGCCCATTTGTTTATCTAAATAGTCTGTCATACAGGATACAAACTAAACATGAATGCTCCTTGTGGTTTAACCGTGGGAAGTTTGAAAGTTATGACTCACTTTCTTCTGCCAGATTTTGTGTGGTCCCTGTCCAATGACGTGATACTGTCCGTGTCCATGGATGGCACAGCCAGACTGTGGAACGTGTCTGCAGGGTCGTGTATGAGAATCATGGAGGACGGGACGGGGGCGGAGCTACACTGCTGCCTCTTCCAACCAATCAACAACAACATGTTTGTGGTATCCTTGGTAACAGCAACAAGCAGGGGGTGTTGGGGTAGCCTTGTTGTAAAAGTGTTGGATCTTCACCGAAGACGAGTGTTTGATTCCCCAAAAAGGTTTCCCTGCCATGATATTTTATGATGTTAAAACAAGCATGAAGTCACTTAATTCTTGTATTTTTCCTTGAAATGGTAACTAGTATGATTTGATTATATATTTATTATATATTACAAAATTTGTAAGGTTCTTTGCACAAATACACTGATGATATTTTGTATCAGTTTAAGCAGTTGATACAATTGGAAATGCAATTGCAATTGTGGTATTTTGTCTTGACCACCTCTCAGACTGGCAGTAGCAGAGGTCATGTACAGGTCATGAACATGTCCACAGGTAAAGGATACAAGGTAAGCTGGAACTCCACACACGATGATGAACATGCACTCGGGTCCACTCGGCTAATGCTGCTACACCATACATGGGTCAGCAGTGGAGTAGCGATATTACCTGAGTTTCCTGTAAACCTTGTAATGCCAGATCCTGCTGCATTTAGGTCAAACAACATGACAGACATTTTTGAAGACATGTTTGGATAAATGATTTATTTCTACCTTCAATATAATTGAAAAAAACAAAACATTTAAAAACATAAATTAACTGTAAGTTCATCTTTTAAAAAAAATGGTCTAGTCTTTGAACAATAAGAATGTGTTTGATGTTGCAATGTTGTGTGTTTCAAGGGAGGTAGTAGCAAGGTGACAGGCAGAGTGCACTGTCTGGCGTTTGACTCAAGTGGCCGCATCTTATGGGCAGGAGATGAGAGGGGGTCCATCTTCTCTTTTACATTGGATGTAGCAACTGGTAAACTCACCAAGACACGCAGGTAACACTGTCACTTTGGTGTTTTTTTTATCTACAACAGCAGTTACAACAGGGGAGGTAACTGATGGATAATAATTATCTCCCTTTAGTTAAGTGACTGGACATTTGTGATATGAAGTCTTAACTAGGGGATTTGGAATAATATCAATGTATATTTCTCAGTAGGCAGCTATGATGTAAAACTGCAAACCTATGTTTTTAATGCAGCAATTGCTTGTTCAAAATCCACCAAAAAAATTGTTATATTTTGAATAATGTGACATGTGTGAGGATGGCTTTACGCAATTTTTAGCAATATTCCAGAAATAATATGGAGGAGATCATCAGAAATGGGCTTCACACATTGTACCCATGTGGGAAATCAAACCCAGACCTTCTGTGTGATGAGGGAAAGCTTTAGCCACTAGGCTATCCCACTGCCCCTACTGTTGTAGTGATTAGAGGTCATATGATGTTATTGTGTTACCTTTATTTTTGAGGTTGTAGGCAAAGCATCCCCCTTTATCAAGGTCGAGATATAGATTTGGATGTCTTCCTGATTCATCCAGTATTTTAGAACTGAGGTGGAAAACACAAGTCACTAATCATGCTGTTGCCTGAAAAGGTTGTAGCCATTTGTAGCATGAACACTGTTGAGTGATGCATTTCAGGATCACTGTGTGTGAGGGTCAGCCAATCACAAGTATATCGGCACGAGCATGGATCAACCGCGAAGCCCGAGATCCCTCCCTCCTTGTCAACTGTTGTCTCAACTCACTGTGCCTCTTCAGGTAACTAACGATCAGCTGTACAGCTATGTAATATTGCAAGCATGTTAGTCTGAACAGCATGTTTGCAGAGATATTTCCGAAAAAGTGGGTTTCAGATCAAGCAACCAAAGATAGTCCATTCACAATGAATACATGCAATTGAATATTGACATTGGACAACACGACATTCCAAAACCACATAGCCTGTCTTACTGCTGCAATTTTAACAAATTAAGTGTCAGGATTAGTATCACCTTGTGTTTATTTGCCCCCAAACAGGAAATATCGGCAGGGAACATATACCCAGTAAATAGTGTATCGACTGATCAGTAGATACGTTTCCTCGCCAAACGTCAACAGTTCCAGTAAACCTGATGTACCTCGACAATGTAGCTCTGAAAACTAACCAAGGCTTAAAAAAAATAAAATAATTGCTTTTCAGGCAACGGCTTTTGAAAATATAATGCGGGCGGGCAGTGTTTTTGGTTGTTCAAACTAGTATGTAACCAAATAACAGATGTATAACCAAATAAACAGTTGTGGGAAAGGGCCTCACTACATGAATGTATTCCTTGATGAGTAAAATACTGGAATACAATATTTGACTACCGTTGGACTTATTTAAGGATTTAAAAAAAATAATTTTAAATGGAAATAAAAATGAAACGTGCTGCAAACTTTATGATGAAGCGGGCGGTGCCTGAGAATCAAGACTATTCTCTTTTTTTTTAGCCCAATGTACAGTTGAACATGCAGTGTTTTCAATGTAGGGCTGGTTTACCTGTAGACTTTACAGTGCCATATTGTATTTGGAACTGAATGCCCGGCATATGTATTATTACATAGAATGTTTATTGCAATTTTACCATGGCAAAATATAACGCAAACTCTTTAGACTTAGCAAAGATATTGATGTGGCATTGGTCAAGTCGAATGTTTTGAGTGGGTTTTCGATCTGACGTAAGGGAACCCTGATGACAGGCATTGACAGTAATATTACTGAAATGTTGTTAAAAATTCATGCAAAAAAAACCCTGTTCTTTAAGTGCTGTAATTTCATTTATCATGCACTGCTTTCAGAATCATATCTAACGACGGGGCACTACAGCTGAAGAAGTCCTTCCCCATCAAACAGAGAACCCATCACATCAAGAGTACCTTCTGTCCTCTCATGTCCTTCAGACAGGGAGCATGTGTTGGTGTGTAATTCTGTAACCGTGGCAACTGACTAATGGCACTGTGCATATTAATTGTATCAAATAACTTGTCGATTGATTAATTTATTCCATTGAATGAGTTCCATTATTCATGGAAACAAATAGTATACATTATTAATTGTCTTTGTGATTCTGCTTTCTTCAGATCTATTCTTAATTCAATCAATTTTCAGTTGTCTAAGGCACAACATTTTGCTATGCAGGGTTGCATCCCTTAGGAGTTCCAGAATCCTATGATTTTGGTTTGGAATCCCAGATTCGCCCTGATAATTAATCTTGTTCATATAGCTGGAATATTGCTGAGTGCAGCGTTAAACAACAAACTAACAAACAAAACCTGCTTCACTTCTTTCCTCCCACATCAAGCCGACTCGTTGAGATGTAACTGAAATGAGTTATTTTCCTCTTCAGTGTCAGGGAGTGAGGACATGTGCGTTTATTTCTTCGACATAACAAAAGAGTCCAAGTCGTGTGTAAACAAACTGCTCGGTCACTCGGCGCCAGTTCTGGATGTGTGCTTCAACTGTGATGAGAGTCTGCTAGCCTCGTGTGACGCACAGGGACTTGTTATTATATGGAAGAGGGAGGGGAAACAGGGCATTTTGTGAATCGGACCAAAGATGCGTCAATGACTCGGCTTGTGTAAGCTGTTTCCAGCGTTCCTAAATAAGCCTGAAAGTCAAGAGGTCCTTGTCAGACTCCACTGTTCAAGGTAACAGATTTAGAGGTCCCTAGATTCAAACACCCTAGCAGCAACCTTAGGGACAGACCCCTTTATATTATGTGATTACTGTGATTCTATATCATGTAATAGTAATAGTTAATGATATAGATGTGATCTGTCTTGCACTGAATATTAAAGAACTACTTCCACAGGCTGTGTGCTAAAAGAGAAGGGGTCTTCAGTCAAATACAGGTCCAACAAACTCAACAAGGGACATTCAAAAACAGTGTTATTTTAGATATTTGATATTCACAATGAGAATAGCATCAATTATAACAGCTGGATGATTTTTACTGGTCCCATCTCTTGTTATACAGCATGTAATGAGAAGGGTACAACCCTTTGGCCCTACACAGTCTTATGCATCCCTGTCATAAGGAAAACGATTTATCTGTTGCAAATAAAGAGAGAGAGGGATGGGAACGAGGGAACAGGAATGTGCTCATTGGTTTCACCAAAGTGTTAAACATCTTCAGACCTGCTTCCCTCTTGAGAGATGCTTCCCTCTTGAGAGCTGCTTCCCGCTAACATAAACTGACACACCATGATATAAAGCAACAGTATACCCAACTCACTCATTGATTAATAAGGAAGAATTTTGTCATTCATTTTTAACATACCAAATTGTAAACACAACTGGTCATAAACTGGACAAGAACATTACCAAATGTCTAAATCAAGTTAGTTTGTGTGTCAGAGGTCACATGACTAGGACTGAACGACCTCTGGATTTGTTTTAGAACCTGAAGATGTATTGATTTGAACTAGGTTCAAATTGTGTTATCTTCAAGTGTTCAGTATTTGTAAGTGAGAAATGAATTGAAATTTCAAAATGTCAAAATTCACTTTTTAGCAGCTTATAACCCTTAATGAGCACAATTCTTTTACCTTTTGTGATACAGGTTATGGCTGAAACTATTTATTGGTTTATCAAGCATGTTAAGTGGCAATAATAATTAGATGTTACTATGTTTCTGTTACTATTTGTGGTTATTCTTTTTAATTTGATCAAGTTTCATGTTGATCATGGCTGTGAATGCTGCAGATGTTAATTGTCTGAATGTTTAAAAATGTGAAAACTGTAATTTATAAACTGTATGTGTAACTATTGGATGACTCAAACTGTATTTTGTAGATAACACTGTATGTCACCTTGAGGTGTTTACCCGTCTTGAAACATATAGGAACTCAGATCCCAATATTTGTTATTAAAACAATGTAGATCATGTGCCCTTTCACCTAAATACAAGTCTCCCATGAAAATGTGCACATCTGTGACTAAAGATTTTTCTTGTCGAAGACATGATTCTGGTGAAGTTTAACTGAACTGAGAGAGTGATAACAAACCTCTGTGAAATGATTGTAGGACCCTATCGTAAATAATGTCTTGGGGGTTATGAGACCTCAGATTTACAAGAGTTTTATGAAACGGCCTAGAAGTATAATATATTTTATGAACGTGGATAGGCAAGTCTTATGTGCCCACCCGATGTAAAAGAAGCGGTCGGGTAGCCTAGTGGTTAAAGGGTTCGCTCGTCACTCAGAACAACCGGGTTCGATTCCTGACATGGGTACAATGTGTGAAGCCCATTTCTGGGGTCCCTTGCCGTGATATTGCTGGAATATTGCTAAAAGCTGCATACAACCTTCCTTACTCACTCCCTCAGAAATCAGGAACAGTGTGGTTCCAATAGTTGTCCTTGTAACACTGACAGGTTAACAGATACAGGATATTTGTAGTTTCTTGTCAAATATCACATATATTTCATAGACAGAGGGTATTTTCATGAGTGGCACAAAGACAAATATTTTAGAAATTTTGTATTTTTCTTTCTGATCACGACATCTTACACTGAAAACCATAGTGTCATTGAAGCAGACTAAAAGTAGCTCTTGCATTAAGTGTTATTTCATTCGAGCTTTTATTAATGTATCAGATTAATACAGTATTTAATCTCTCAATACATCATGATACATTCTGAGAACACCTCATGCTGGAAATAGGAAGTTGTCATGTTAGACTGTCTTACCTTTGTAATGGTCGGAATGTAGGAAACACTTCTCCACATTATCACCTTGATGCTTTGTTAATTGTATAAATTATCCTTTGTTAATTATATATGAATGTGTATGTATTATTACTAGTATTTTCACATGTCTGCAATATTATGTCAGTGATCCTCTCTCAGAAATCAACCTGATGAGTCAATAACGCCTTGACAGCAACATGAAATTATTGGGAAATATTTTGTTTCCTTTTTCCCACCAACTGTCATTGATTATCGATTGTATAACATGTCCATTCTATTATGAAAATGCCTTGCACCCATTCACCACCATAGCTTTGTTTGAGAAGTTGTGTCACCATCTCTAGCTCCGACTTTCACACAATCTCTCTGGCTCATTGATTCAGTTTGATTCGATAGCTATATACAGTCAAACACCCTTGTGTCAAATTTATGTTTGTCTTGAGGTTAAAGTTTGGTCCCTGCTTATTCCTTCTGTATTCATCATTTTTAGTTGTGTTGAACCTTGGATAACTCGAAGTACCGTATTCGACGTAATAAGCGCCCCGCTCTAATAAGCACCCACTGCGATATTTGCTAATATATTGGCTTGTGAACAATCCCAATTGGCACCCCTTCCGATTGATCACTGTACTGGACTTATTTTTTCTCGCGTATAATACACACTTATGTGTTATATGTACCCTTAATTATTGGCAATCAAATTCTGGAAAAATATATCTGTCGTACATAAACATTTCAGGCTGTCAGCATAAACCACGAAATTTATCTTTCAACTCTGTTTTTTTCACCAAAATAATATTCTAATAAGAGCCCCCTGTTCCTAATTTTGGGAGCGCCCTGGGCGCTTATTACGTTGAATACAGTATTTACATCAGTTCCTTCAACGGTGTTTTACTGTATTCATGTTATTTGGACTGGATGTTAAAGCTATGGTGGAGATACCCAGGTGATGATCGAGGTTGGCCACCCATGGAAAGAGTGCCATGTTGTCGTGTTGATCGACTGAAGGTAGAGAAATTGAAAGGACTTGGCCATCATGTAGCATTGTAGCAGATACTACCTTTACATGGAACGGGGCATTGGTGGCCTATGGGTGCAAGGTACTGCAATAAGGTGTGCCAGTAACAGGATCATGGGTTCAAATCCCAGGTTCTCCCCGATTTTGTTTTTTAGATTTGTCGGCACCATTACCATGCTCTTCGGTTTCAGTGGTAAATGCCTGAAGCCTGCATCACATTGGACTTTCCTTCAACATCAAGCGGACATGTCACATGACTGAAATATTGTTCAAAGTGGCGGTTCACCAACTCACTTATAAACACCATGGCTAGCTGTTGTTCAGGGAGAGTGAGTCTCCTGAGTAATGGCAATCATTTTCCTTCATAACTTTACAAATCATTCCAATTTATTGATACGTCCATTCAATTTATTAATCTGTTATGTATTAAACAATCAACTGTTTGTTTGTGGTTGTTACTTTTTTATTTATTAGTATCCAGTTTCACCGACAAATTTCTGGGCAGCTCCTCTTCATTCCTCAAAATAAATTTCTGGTTCACTCTTCACTGACCCTGCACTTGAGGCCCAATAGAAACTTTCCATTTGACACAACCAAGAGGTGGTGGGGTAGCCTAGTGGTTAAAGCATTCGCTCATCATGCTGAAGGCCCCGGTTGAATTCCGGACATGGGTACAATGTGTGAAGCCCATTTCTATTGTCCCCCGCCGTGATATTGCTGGAATATTGCTAAAAGCGGCTTAAAACCATCTTTACTTACGCACAAACAAGGTTAAGGGCAAGCTCATCTTAACAAGTGATGCAAATGACTATGACTGTCAGGCCAGCATCTCAAATGAAGATTTTGTGTTCATTTCTGATGCTGCTCTTAAATTGCTTAAACATGCTGACTCAGTTGTTTAAAGATAATTGTTGTCACTGGGGTAGCGGGGTGACATAGGGGGCACTGGGGTAGCGGAATGTCACAGGGGCACTGGGGCAGCAGAGTGACATAGGGGGCACTGGGGCAGCAGAGTGACATAGGGGGCACTGGGGTAGCAGAGTGACATAGGGGGCACTGGGGTAGCGGAGTGACATAGGGGGCACTGGGGTAGCGGGGTGACATAGGGGGCACTGGGGTAGCGGAGTGACATAGGGGGCACTGGGGTAGCGGAGTGACTAAGCTTGCCATGCTGAATATTTGAGTTTGATTTAAGTATGGCCTGGTGGTGACAGTACTCTTGGCTGCAAACTAGTTGATTGGGTTGTATTGTACCAACGGTAGCTGTCTTTTCTGGTCCAGGCACAGTTACCATACAATATTGCAGACCAAACTGTAAACAACTACTACCAAAAACTACAACTCATAGTAGTACCCCAGGATTCTGTTAAATAAATAAATAAATAAATGCTAGGGATTGGATGTCAACAGTTGGTCAGTACAGCAGTAACATGGACCGGCTTGGGTTATGTGTACATTATGTCATCACATTTTGGACCAGAGGGCCATCGTTCACCCATGATAAAGGTTTGTCTCTGTTTTTTTTTCACTTTTTGAATGCTGTGTGAAAAAATAGTTTCACAAAACTACATGGGTAAGTTTGTTAAAACTGATACTTTAGGTCTGGATGACTTTGATAATGATATCAATGATGACCTTTAATAGTACTCACTATCGGAGGAGCCCTCAAAGTCAAAAGTAGGTCTTCAGCAACCCATTCTTGCTGTAAAAGGCGACTATGCTTACTGTAAGAGGCAACGGGATCGGGTGGTCAGGCTCGCTTACTTGGTTGAAGCATGTCATCGATCCCAGTTGCGTGGATCGATGCTCATGATATCAATCATGGATTGATTATCGATTATTGACAGACCACCTTCACATAGCTGGAATATTGCTGAGTGCGGCGTTAAACAACAAACCAGCAAAAGTAGGTGCAAAGAACCACAGCTTGTTGGGAGAGCCAACTGACAAGAGGATCACGTTGTTGCAGTGTATGTTGATTGTATGCCATACTCAGGCAGTACTGATTGGTGCTCATGCTATTAGCCACTGGTGTGCCTTGATGTAGACCAGATAGCTTACAGGCTGGCATGATGTTGCTCGCTCACAATCCCCTTCAAGATCCGGGTTAGAATAGGTCTTTAGGAACCCATGCTTGTCGTAAAAGGTGACTAAAGGATCGGGTGGTCAGACTCGCTGACTTGGTTGATGCATTTCATCGTATCCCAACTGCATGGATTGATGCTCATGATATCAATCAATGGATTGTCGGGTCCTGACTCGATTATAAACAGACCGTATGTATGATATAGCAGGAATATTGTTGAGTGCTGCGTTGAACAACAAGCAAACAAACACTCGCTCACAATCTATGATACGATTAACATCTCACAAAGAAAACTACAACAAATGACCGTGACAATCAGTGGGTTTATTGGCACTTGATTTATAGTGAGTCAAGGACACAGACTGTAAATAAATATAAATCAGTACTATCGACATCAGTGATTTATACATAAATCAACATTTAAAATGATATGTATGAGGAAATCCAACTCTTAAATTTCATCCATTTCATAAAAGAAAGGGCACACAAATAATCACTGACAGCATTTTGATGTAAATAAAGTAAATGTAAATATTGTAATCCAATTAAATGATATTGTAAAATGAATATATGCAAATTGAAGAAAAAATAACATCCCGGGGAAGTATGGTATCACAAAATAAATGAAGTATTTTGGGTTTCTTTAAAAAAAGTAATTTAAGATGCTTCTTGACAAAACTTGATTACACAATACAGATTCCCTAAAACCTAATTAATATACAAATCTACATTTAGAAGTCGTAGCTTGATAAGATGCTGTTTGAGCACTCTTTGTCATTGAACGTCTACAGGGAGGTGGAACTAGAGTACAGGGGAGATGAACAGTTAACATTTAGTGTCCAGGTTCAAAGTTCACTTATATATACCACTCAAAAGAAGTTAAAGAGCACCTGACTTTTTCATATTATGCCATGAGTATAATGATAGTAATATGAAAGAATCTGGTATTCTTTTTTTTTTGAGTAGTATACTAGTATTTTATACACACACATTTTCCTTTTTGGATTTAACCTGGAATCAGATGGGTGACTAAGCTTGTAAATTTACTCATTAAGTAATCACATACTATGGTTGGGCACATGAGCAAAGCATTTCCACAACCCTGTAATAACAGTTGACCGGTACTTCACATAACACACATACTTGTTTTAAATACTAGCAATCTCAATACAATCTCACAACCTACATCAAAATAATTCATAACTAATATTTGTTACACCACAATTGTAGTCAAACTGAACAGTCCTTATACTGAAGTTATCATCTGTGAATGTGATGTGATATATACATCAAGGCATAATGGGTACATTGTAGCAATACTGTATATACAGGACAAGGTGGAAGAGGATAATAGTTTATATTCAATACAGTAAATATAGACCCAAACACACCCAAGTTTATAGTTTTTAATTATTTGAGTTTACGAATCCGCCTGCCCAAGTATTCACAAGTGTGAAAAAAAGAAATTAAACTGTAACAAGTTTTAATTGCTTCCCTGCATTATTTGTGGATCAATATAGAAAGAAAAGCAAACCTGACATTTTTATTCCCCCATAATACCTTCTTTTTGTCATTTCAATCGACTAACAATTTCTTAAGAAATCATGTAAAAAAAAATGTTTTGGAATTTTATTTTATCTCGATCGCTGTCTTTATGTTTAGGAAACACAATTGGTAAACCAAGTGAATAGAAAATACCATGGCTACAAATTATACAGATTTAAACTTTGACAGTAAATACTTTGCAAAGTAGTCATCTAGGACATCTTTATTATTTGATGATTAAGGTAACTAACTGAACTTATTTATATCTTATTTTTCTTGTAATTTATTAGAATTTTTTAATTAATAATATATTATGATCGCTATTTTATTGTAATCTAATAACATAATTTCAGTTATTGTTCAACATAATACATAGTTTTGCTGTAAAGAATACCAATGCTACAGCATCATAATACATTTAAAGACCTATATAAGACTATACATGAACTGATTATTTAGCTTATGTTCACAAAGGTCTTTCCTATGAAACTACTACATGAGAATATCCTGTGCTGCAAAAGGAAACTGAAGAGACAACACTGCCTTGCACTATTTGTTCTAAAACCAGTCCTGACATCCAATGAATAACATTTAAAACCTTAGCACCTCTTTCTACTTGACTAGAACAAGTGCCATTCAAGCAACACGGGCACTAAAAATAACCAATTAAGAATTCATCACTAAGATGAAAATGGTGGAGCTGTAATGAAACTTATTTTATTGAACTTTTATTTCAGTCATGTTTTATTTTATATTCCAGGAAATTAAATCTGATGACAACGAACAAGTAAATCGTGTTTCCTTTTTTCAAACATACCATAAAACAAAATGGACAATGAGTGTCGTATGTTGGATTATATTGCACATGCTTTGGGTAGACGAACCTATCAACAAGCATCAAGCAAAACACATTATTAACACTGGTAAAGTAATAACATGGGAAGCTAATTAACAAACCCAATCAAAATCAGCACAACACCTTGTATATTATGCATTCATATTCAGTTAGTAATCATTTAATAAGCACAATCAATCATGGCAGCCTTGGGACGACTCAAGACCTGTTACTGAATATTAGTATACAGGGAAATAGTAGGTCGGCAAAAATAGTACAAGGACAACTAATATTAACTTAAAACACAACCGTAGAACATGCATGAGCAATCACTAACATGGAGTCACAGCTAATGTTTAAATGTACTGTGGGTTCGAGGTGACACGGTTAACCAAGTATCATGTCACAATTTAATGAACTGTCTTATCAAAGTCTGCCATATGAAAGTATAACATACATCATAAATTTAACTTGAACTAACACAAACAACTTCATTTTGTCAGATACTCTCTGCTTTTGAGCACATCACATGACAGTATCTACCTGTGCAGTAGTCAAAGAAAAAACATGCAGATTACAAGATCTTAAAGGGCTCCAAGATTTGTTATGGGACAAAAGGTTTTTCATAAAGATGATAATGTACCAGTTAATAGAGTAACTTACACCAAGTCCCCCAAAAACATATACAACTCAACATTTGCCAAGAACCAAAATAGTCATCTTTAATCAAAGAAGGTGGTTCTAAGCAAATGATGTTTAGTACATCTTGGGTCAATAAGGTTTTTCAGATAGAGGAAGTCATATGTACTTTGCAAGATAATCTGAGGAAGCAGAGTTACCTACCCTTGGTCATAGTCATAAAGAAATACATTTTTTGAAAAAGTTACAGTGAGTGAAAGAAATAATTTGATAAAGTATATTATAAGACAGACAATAGTATGCCTATCTATCTATATCTCCATACTCCCATTTAACACTTGTTCTATTAACACATACCAAGTATCAAGAGGTGAATCAGGACTAAAGATATGCCTTCATGTCAAACTGAACTATGTTTCAGACTTCCACCAGCTTAAACAATATGAGGAAGTAGGAACAAAACAGATAGGATTTCGTAGCTATACACCTTTGGTAAAACTGTGCTGTGCCTTATCACATAACAAGCATATCTATTTCAGATACAAGTTGTATATATTTTACTGCTTTGTGTAGAAAACTTTGGGATAAAGGAAACAGATAACATCAACATGGTATTGTGTAGTGTTCTACAGAGGACAGTCTTCTGACCAGCCGCTTCCGTCTCACCAGCGGGAGCATCTCCAGCACCATCAGTTTTACAGTGACAACAGGAGGCAAGGTCAACAAAACCCAATTGTGAAAACAAAATTATACAAATATGGAACAGCTGCAAATATAAGCAGTTATTTTCAGTTTGGGTACTTTTTCTAATAAGGTGCCCAAGTTCTGCATCATGTACATAAAATGTTATTCACAGTAATATTATTTTTTCAACAATTCCTCTTGTAAGGATGAATATGTTAAGTAAATTGCCATATTTGAAAATCAAAATGTCTCAAATGCATTTGTTAAGTCTCATGGACTGATTTCTACGTGTTTGAACAAATGACATTTCAAAAAAGATCAACAAGTGAAGAGGTGTCACTCTTTTGTGGCTCAACTTCTGTGGAAGGAGGTGGTTTTTCAAACATATCTAACAATGCTGATTGGTCAGATTCTTTGGTGTCAGCAGCTGATTGGCTCAAGTCTTGAGAAGATGAAAAATCTAGTGAAGATCCGAACATGTCAGCCGAGGTGCCACTGTTTGCCCGAGATGGTGCCTCAGAACCAGCCTGCACAAAGTCTAACAACATCCCAGAAACTGTCATGGGGCTTTGTTCAGCAGCGCCACTGCCTAATTTATTACCAGAGTTAAAATCAAACATGTCACCAGTCTCAAGTTGACTTGGATCAACCTGCAATGTCAGGCCAAAGGGATCACTGTCTGCTGTCTGACCGGTCTCTACTGAAGGGAACGTATTTGATGTGCTGAGATTTGGAACAGTATCATTCTGAGAAAGAGCTGTCATGCCAAATGGATCACTGTCTGCAATTTGACTGGTCTCGGCTGAGGGGTTTGGTTCAACACTACAAGGAACAGTGTTGTCCTGGGAAGATGAAAGGCCAAATGGATCAATATTTACTTTGTTTCCTATTACTGAAGGGAATGAACGTGCTGCACCCAGATTTGGAGCCGTGTTCTCACCAGTAGCAGACTTCAGACCAAATGGATCACTGTCTTGTGTCTGTCCAGTCTCCACTGAGGGGAATGCATCTAATGTCTCAAGATTTGGAGCAGTGTTCTCACCAATAGCAGATGTCAGGCCAAATGGATCACTGTCTTCTGTTTGTACAGTCTCCACTGAGGGGAATGCATCTGGTGCCTCTAGATTTGGAACAGCGTTCTCACCAGTGGCAGATGTCAGGCCAAATGGATCACTGTCTTGTGTCTGTCCAGTCTCCACTGAGGGGAATGCATCTAATGTCTCAAGATTTGGAGCAGTGTTCTCACCAGTAGCAGATGTCAGGCCAAATGGATCACTGTCTTCTGTTTGTACAGTCTCCACTGAGGGGAATGCATCTGGTGCCTCTAGATTTGGAACAGTGTTCTCTCCAGATGTCAGGCCAAATGGATCACTGTCTGCTGTTTGTACAGTCTCTACTGAGGGGAATGCATCTGATTCTTTAAGATTTGGAGCAGTTTTCTCACCAGTAGCAGATGTCAGGCCAAATGGATCACTGTCTGCTGTTTTTCCAGTCTTCACCAAGGTGAATGCATCTGATGCTTCAAGATTTGGAACAGTGTCCTCACCAGTAGCAGATGTCACACCAAATGGATCACTGTCTTGTGTCTGTCCACTCTCCACTGAGGGGAATGCATCTGGTGCCTCTAGATTTGGAACAGCGTTCACATTAGAAGCAGATGTCAGGCCAAATGGATCACTGTCTGCTGTTTGTCCAGTCTCCACCAAGGTGAATGCATCTGATGCTTCAAGATTTGGAACAGTGTCCTCACCAGTAGCAGATGACAGGCCAAATGGATCACTGTCTTCTGTTTGTACAGTCTCCACTGAGGGGAATGCATCTGATGCCTCAAGATTTGGAGCAGTGTTCTCACCAGTAGCAGATGTCAGACCAAATGGATCACTGTCTTGTGTCTCTCCAGGCTCCACTGAGGGGAATGCATCTGGTGCCTCTAGATTTGGAACAGCGTTCACATTAGTGGCAGATGTCAGGCCAAAAGGATCACTGTCTTCTGTTTGTCCAGCCTCCACTGAGGGGAATGCATCTAATGTCTCAAGATTTGGAACAGTGTCTTCACCAGGAGCAGATGTCAGGCCAAATGGATCACTGTCTTCTGTTTGTCCAGTCTCCACTGAGGGGAATGCATCTAATGTCTCAAGATTTGGAACAGTGTCTTCACCAGTGGCAGATGTCAGGCCAAATGGATCACTGTCTTCTGTTTGTACAGTCTCCACTGAGGGGAATGCATCTGGTGCCTCTAGATTTGGAACAGTGTTCTCTCCAGATGTCAGGCCAAATGGATCACTGTCTGCTGTTTGTACAGTCTCCACCGAGGTGAATGCATCCAGTGCCTCAAGATTTGGAACAGTGTTCTCACCAGTAGCAGATGTCACACCAAATGGATCACTGTCTTCTGTTTGTTCAGTCTCCACTGAGGGGAATGCATCTGGTGTCTCAAGATTTGGAGCAGTGTTCTCACCAGTAGCAGATGTCAGGCCAAATGGATCACTGTCTGCTGTTTGTACAGTCTCCACTGAGGGGAATGCATCTGGTGCCTCTAGATTTGGAACAGCGCTCACATTAGTGGCAGATGTCAGGCCAAATGGATCACTGTCTTGTGTCTGTCCAGTCTCCACCAAGGTGAATGCATCTGATGCTTCAAGATTTGGAACAGTGTTCTCACCAGTACCAGATGTCAGGCCAAATGGATCACTGTCTGCTGTTTGTCCAGTCTCCACTGAGGGGAATGCATCTGGTGTCTGAAGATTTGGAGCAGTGTTCTCACCAGTAGCAGATGTCAGGCCAAATGGACCACTGTCTGCTGTTTGTTCAGTCTCCACAAAGGTGAATGCATCTGATGCTTCAAGATTTGGAACAGTGTTCTCACCAGATGTCAAGCCAAATGGATCACTGTCTGCTGTTTGTACAGTCTCCACTGAGGGGAATGCATCTGATGCCTCTAGATTTGGAGCAGTGTTCTCACCAGATGTCAGGCCAAATGGATCACTGTCTGCTGTTTGTACAGTCTCCACTGAGGGGAATGCATCTGATGCTTCAAGATTTGGAACAGTGTTCTCACCAGATGTCAGGCCAAATGGATCACTGTCTGCTGTTTGTACAGTCTCCACTGAGGGAAATGCATCTGATGTCTCAAGATTTGGAGCAGTGTTCTCACCAGTAGCAGATGTCAGGCCAAATGGATCACTGTCTTCTGTTTGTACAGTCTCCACTGAGGGGAATGCATCTGGTGCCTCTAGATTTGGAACAGCGTTCACATTAGTGGCAGATGTCAGGCCAAATGGATCACTGTCTTGTATCTGTCCAGTCTCCACTGAGGGGAATGCATCTGGTGCCTCTAGATTTGGAACAGTGTTCTCACCAGTACCAGATGTCAGGCCAAATGGATCACTGTCTGCTGTTTGTACAGTCTCCACTGAGGGGAGTGCATCTGGTGCCTCTAGATTTGGAACAGTGTTCTCACCAGTACCAGATGTCAGGCCAAATGGATCACTGTCTGCTGTTTGTTCAGTCGCCACCAAGGTGAATGCATCTGATGCTTCAAGATTTGGAACAGTGTCCTCACCAGTAGCAGATGGCAGGCCAAATGGATCACTGTCTGCTGTTTGTTCAGTCTCCACCAAGGTGAATGCATCTGATGCTTCAAGATTTGGAACAGTGTTCTCACCAGTAGCAGATGTCAGGCCAAATGGATCACTGTCTGCTGTTTGTACAGTCTCCACTGAGGGGAATGCATCTGGTGCCTCTAGATTTGGAACAGCGTTCACATTAGTGGCAGATGTCAGGCCAAATGGATCACTGTCTTGTGTCTGTCCAGTCTCCAATGAGGGGAATGGATCTGGTGCCTCAAGATTTGGAACAGTGACTTCACCAGAAGCAGATGTCAGGTCAAACGGACCACTGTCTGCTGTTTGTTCAGTCGCCACCAAGGTGAATGCATCTGATGCTTCAAGATTTGGAACAGTGTCCTCACCAGTAGCAGATGGCAGGCCAAATGGATCACTGTCTTCTGTTTGTCCAGTCTCCACCAAGGTGAATGCATCTGATGCTTCAAGATTTGGAACAGTGTTCTCACCAGTACCAGATGTCAGGCCAAATGGATCACTATCTGCTGTTTGTACAGTCTCCACTGAGGGGAATGCATCTGATGCCTCAAGATTTGGAGCAGTGTTCTCACCAGTAGCAGATGTCAGACCAAATGGATCACTGTCTTGTGTCTGTCCAGTCTCCACTGTGGGGAATGCATCTAATGTCTCAAGATTTGGAACAGTGTCTTCACCAGAAGCAGATGTGAGGCCAAATGGACCACTGTCTGCTGTTTGTACAGTCTCCACTGAGGGGAATGCATCTGATGCCTCTAGATTTGGAGCAGTGTTCTCAGCAGATGTGAGGCCAAATGGATCACTGTCTCCTGTTTGTACAGTCTCCACTGAGGGGAATGCATCTGATGCCTCAAGATTTGGAGCAATGTTCTCACCAGTAGTAGATGTCAGGCCAAATGGATCACTGTCTGCTGTTTGTTCAGTCTCCACTGAGGGGAATGCATCTAATGTCTCAAGATTTGGAGCAGTGTTCTCACCAGTAGCAGATGTCAGGCCAAATGGATCACTGTCTGCTGTTTGTTCAGTCGCCACCAAGGTGAATGCATCTGATGCTTCAAGATTTGGAACAGTGTTCTCACCAGTAGCAGATGGCAGGCCAAATGGATCACTGTCTGCTGTTTGTTCAGTCTCCACCAAGGTGAATGCATCTGATGCTTCAAGATTTGGAACAGTGTTCTCACCAGTAGCAGATGTCAGGCCAAATGGATCACTGTCTGCTGTTTGTACAGTCTCCACTGAGGGGAATGCATCTGGTGCCTCTAGATTTGGAACAGCGTTCACATTAGTGGCAGATGTCAGGCCAAATGGATCACTGTCTTGTGTCTGTCCAGTCTCCAATGAGGGGAATGGATCTGGTGCCTCAAGATTTGGAACAGTGACTTCACCAGAAGCAGATGTCAGGTCAAATGGACCACTGTCTGCTGTTTGTTCAGTCGCCACCAAGGTGAATGCATCTGATGCTTCAAGATTTGGAACAGTGTCCTCACCAGTAGCAGATGGCAGGCCAAATGGATCACTGTCTTCTGTTTGTTCAGTCTCCACCAAGGTGAATGCATCTGATGCTTCAAGATTTGGAACAGTGTTCTCACCAGTACCAGATGTCAGGCCAAATGGATCACTATCTGCTGTTTGTACAGTCTCCACTGAGGGGAATGCATCTGATGCCTCAAGATTTGGAGCAGTGTTCTCACCAGTAGCAGATGTCAGACCAAATGGATCACTGTCTTGTGTCTGTCCAGTCTCCACTGTGGGGAATGCATCTAATGTCTCAAGATTTGGAACAGTGTCTTCACCAGAAGCAGATGTGAGGCCAAATGGACCACTGTCTGCTGTTTGTACAGTCTCCACTGAGGGGAATGCATCTGATGCCTCTAGATTTGGAGCAGTGTTCTCAGCAGATGTGAGGCCAAATGGATCACTGTCTCCTGTTTGTACAGTCTCCACTGAGGGGAATGCATCTGATGCCTCAAGATTTGGAGCAATGTTCTCACCAGTAGTAGATGTCAGGCCAAATGGATCACTGTCTGCTGTTTGTTCAGTCTCCACTGAGGGGAATGCATCTAATGTCTCAAGATTTGGAGCAGTGTTCTCACCAGTAGCAGATGTCAGGCCAAATGGATCACTGTCTGCTGTTTGTTCAGTCTCCACCAAGGTGAATGCATCTGATGCCTCAAGATTTGGAACAGTGTTCTCACCAGATGTCAAGCCAAATGGATCACTGTCTCCTGTTTGTACAGTCTCCACTGAGGGGAATGCATCTGATGCCTCTAGATTTGGAACAGTGTTCTCACCAGTAGCAGATGTCAGGCCAAATGGATCACTGTCTGCTGTTTGTACAGTCTCCACTGAGGGGAATGCATCTGGTGCCTCTAGATTTGGAACAGCGTTCACATTAGTGGCAGATGTCAGGCCAAATGGATCACTGTCTGCTGTTTGTTCAGTCTCCACCAAGGTGAATGCATCTGATGCCTCAAGATTTGGAACAGTGTTCTCACCAGATGTCAAGCCAAATGGATCACTGTCTCCTGTTTGTACAGTCTCCACTGAGGGGAATGCATCTGGTGCCTCTAGATTTGGAACAGTGTTCTCACCAGTACCAGATGTCAGGCCAAATGGATCACGGTCTGCTGTTTGTACAGTCTCCACTGAGGGGAATGCATCTGGTGCCTCTAGATTTGGAACAGTGTTCTCACCAGTACCAGATGTCAGGCCAAATGGATCACTGTCTGCTGTTTGTTCAGTCGCCACCAAGGTGAATGCATCTGATGCTTCAAGATTTGGAACAGTGTCCTCACCAGTAGCAGATGGCAGGCCAAATGGATCACTGTCTTCTGTTTGTTCAGTCTCCACCAAGGTGAATGCATCTGATGCTTCAAGATTTGGAACAGTGTTCTCACCAGTAGCAGATGTCAGGCCAAATGGATCACTGTCTGCTGTTTGTACAGTCTCCACTGAGGGGAATGCATCTGGTGTCTCAAGATTTGGAACAGCGTTCACATTAGTGGCAGATGTCAGGCCAAATGGATCACTGTCTTGTGTCTGTCCAGTCTCCACTGAGGGGAATGCATCTAATGTCTCAAGATTTGGAACAGTGACTTCACCAGAAGCAGATGTCAGGTCAAATGGACCACTGTCTGCTGTTTTTACAGTCTCCACTGAGGGGAATGCATCTGGTGCCTCTAGATTTGGAACAGTGTTCTCACCAGTACCAGATGTCAGGCCAAATGAATCACTGTCTGCTGTTTGTTCAGTTGCCACCAAGGTGAATGCATCTGATGCTTCAAGATTTGGAACAGTGTCCTCACCAGTACCAGGTGTCAGGCCAAATGGATCACTGTCTGCTGTTTGTTCAGTCTCCACCAAGGTGAATGCATCTGATGCTTCAAGATTTGGAACAGTGTTCTCACCAGTACCAGATGTCAGGCCAAATGGATCACTATCTGTTGTTTGTACAGTCTCAACTGAGGGGAATGCATCTGATGCCTCAAGATTTGGAGCAGTGTTCTCACCAGTAGTAGATGTCAGACCAAATGGATCACTGTCTTGTGTCTGTCCAGTCTCCACTGTGGGGAATGCATCTAATGTCTCAAGATTTGGAACAGTGTCTTCACCAGAAGCAGATGTGAGGCCAAATGGACCACTGTCTGCTGTTTGTACAGTCTCCACTGAGGGGAATGCATCTGATGCCTCTAGATTTGGAGCAGTGTTCTCACCAGATGTCAGGCCAAATGGATCACTGTCTGCTGTTTGTACAGTCTCCACTGAGGGGAATGCATCTGATGCCTCTAGATTTGGAACAGTGTTCTCACCAGTAGTAGATGTCAGGCCAAATGGATCACTGTCTGCTGTTTGTTCAGTCTCCACCAAGGTGAATGCATCTGATGCTTCAAGATTTGGAACAGTGTTCTCACCAGATGTCAAGCCAACTGGATCACTGTCTGCTGTTTGTCCAGTCTCCACTGATGGGAATGCATCTGGTGCCTCTAGATTTGGAGCAGTGTTCTCACCAGTAGCAGATGTCAGGCCAAATGGATCACTGTCTGCTGTTTGTACAGTCTCCACTGAGGGGAATGCATCTGATGTCTCTAGATTTGGAACAGCATTCACATTAGTGGCAGATGTCAGGCCAAATGGATCACTGTCTGCTGTTTGTACAGTCTCCACTGAGGGGAATGCATCTGATGCCTCAAGATTTGGAGCAGTGTTCTCACCAGTAGCAGATGTCAGACCAAATGGATCACTGTCTTGTGTCTGTCCAGTCTCCACCAAGGTGAATGCATCTGATGCTTCAAGATTTGGAACAGTGTTCTCACCAGTACCAGATGTCAGGCCAAATGGATCACTGTCTTGTGTTTGTACAGTCTCCACTGAGGGGAATGCATCTGATGTCTCTAGATTTGGAACAGCATTCACATTAGTGGCAGATGTCAGGCCAAATGGACCACTGTCTGCTGTTTGTACAGTCTCCACTGAGGGGAATGCATCTGATGTCTCTAGATTTGGAACAGCATTCACATTAGTGGCAGATGTCAGGCCAAATGGATCACTGTCTGCTGTTTGTACAGTCTCCACTGAGGGGAATGCATCTGATGCCTCAAGATTTGGAGCAGTGTTCTCACCAGTAGCAGATGTCAGACCAAATGGATCACTGTCTTGTGTCTGTCCAGTCTCCACCAAGGTGAATGCATCTGATGCTTCAAGATTTGGAACAGTGTTCTCACCAGTACCAGATGTCAGGCCAAATGGATCACTGTCTGCTGTTTGTACAGTCTCCACTGAGGGGAATGCATCTGATGCCTCAAGATTTGGAACAATGTTCTCACCAGTACCAGATGTCAGGCCAAATGGATCACTGTCTCCTGTTTGTACAGTCTCCACTGAGGGGAATGCATCTGGTGCCTCTAGATTTGGAGCAGTGTTCTCACCAGTACCAGATGTCAGGCCAAATGGATCACTGTCTGCTGTTTGTTCAGTCTCCACCAAGGTGAATGCATCTGATGCTTCAAGATTTGGAACAGTGTTCTCACCAGATGTCAAGCCAAATGAATCACTGTCTCCTGTTTGTTCAGTCTCCACTGAGGGGAATGCATCTGATGCCTCTAGATTTGGAACAGTGTTCTCACCGGTAGCAGATGTCAGGCCAAATGGATCACTGTCTGCTGTTTGTACAGTCTCCACTGAGGGGAATGCATCTGATGCCTCTAGACTTGGGACAGTGTTCTCACCAGATGCCAGGCCAAATGGTTCACTGTCTACTGTTTGTACAGTCTCCACTGAAGGGAATGCATCATAGACAGGGTCTGCTTCAGATGTTAAGTCATCAATACCTGTGGCTTGATTGTTAATAGGTGTAATGGTATTAGATGGCTGACTTGTTTTAATGTCCTCAGTAGGTGATATGCTGACAATGCCCTCTGATATGATCACTTGTGCAGCATCAGATACAGTAGAATCTGCCATCATATCCTGACTTGATGGATGCATATTTTTTAGGTCTGAAGAAACATTTTGATTAGGTTTCAAAGTGTCTTCTTCTGTTTGACTTGTAGCTATTGGTGGTGACATACATAACACATCAGTGTCGATGTTAATTTCTGCAATGGTGACTGGAGAAGCTGTGTTTAATTCCCCTTTAGTCTCAGACATACCAAATTCATCATTGTCTATTTCTAGACCCTCCTGAGAGTTTGATTGAGACTGAATGTCTGGTGCAAACTTAAAAGTGCTCGCATCTTGAGGACTTTTGTGATTTTCATCCGATGGTAAATCAAGGAATGCTGCAGATTCTTGTGAGTCAGTTAATGATGAATCTGGAAAATCAATAACGCTCTGACCTAAATTACTTTCGTTTGAGCCATCACTGTAAAACTTTGTTTGTTTCTCTTCCTCTGATGCACCAAGGACTAGAAATTCATCTCCTCTTTCTTCAACAGTTTCACCATCATTAGCTACTTCAGTGTTTTCTGTGAACTGTGAATCTGACTTTGCCTGAGTTTCACTGGTTTCACTGATGTCACTGAGAAATCCTTGTTCTCCTACGGAATTGGAGATTTCAACAAAGTCATCCAATAAGGAATCAGTGGACACAGCACTACCATCACCTTGTTGACTCACTACCACTTGTTCTGATGTTGTCATACCAAGGTCCTCAAAATCATTGAGAGAGTTATCACTTCCTGCTTCAGAAACATCAGAAGCCCACGACACCTCTTCTGGGGCATCATTTTGTTCTGAAGTTCTTTGTTTCAAGGAGTCCTTTCCAAGGATGAATGCTTGGCCAAAGTCATCAACATTGCTAGGTTCAAAAACATTTGATGTCATGCCTGATGAACCGGAAACTTCTGCAGTGCTCTCTTTTGCATCTATGCTTATGTCAGGATGAGATATGTGATCAGCAAGGCAAGTTAACTGCTCAGAATCGGGGACAGAGGGTAAATCATTCGGCACTGGGATTTGCTCAAAACCTTGAAGGCCAGTGAAGTCATTGTTCTCGCTAGATGGAACCTGCTGTGCAATATTAACACCAAGGAGTTGATCTTGAGGCTTTGAAGACTCATCAAGAATCTTGTCTTTATCAATTAACTGCTCAGATACCGAGGGTAAATCATCTGGCACAGAGATTTGTTCCAAATCTTCAAGGCCAGTGAAGTCACTGTCCTTGCTAGGTGGTAGCTGATGCTGTTCTGGAGACATGTCTGGAAGAAGGGCATCAGGCCTGAAGCCATGGATTTCCTTTTCTGTGTCTGTTTCATCAATAGCATCTTCACTCAAAATGCTTGAAATTGAGGTGGCTGGAATTTCATCGTTATCAAAGGCTTGCACTGGTGATAAATTGTCATAAAAAATATCTGCTTGGAAATTGGAAGGTTTCACAGATACATCATTGTCTTGTGTGATCAGACTGCCTTGTGTATCACTACCTTTTTCAATCACTGCAGATTGATCTGTCACCAAACCCTCAAACACATCAGTTTGATTTACAGTTTGTTGACTGACCATTGTCTGAACATCCTCCTCCATCTCACTACTAGAAGAACTTAGTTCCTGACCTAAGACATCATGATCATCAACCTTGGTCTGTTCAATGGCCATCGGGCTCTGAGAGTAAAGGCCAATCTCAGAAACAATGCCCTCTGAGTCACCCTCAGTAACAGCATCATTGTAATGTATTGGTCCCGGACCTGATATCACATCAACTGCTTTGTCTGTTCCACCTATGGATGCGTTGGTCTCTGCACCAATTTGTGAGATGTGGTCTACAGATTTATCCTCAGTGTTTATACCCTTTTGCAACAGAATGTGGTGTCCTACGTCTGTTTTCCCATCTAATAAATCTTGCTTTTCAGCATTTGCTGCAGTATTTGAGGTGTTTGGATAATCTTTAGCAGTTATTTCTAATTCATTCTTATCACTTATGGTATCAGGTACAAGATCTGTGTCTGAATGTCTAAAAACTGTCTCAAAGTCTTCCTTTGGACTATTTGATTCTGTGCTCAATGTTTGTTTCTCCAAAGCAGAAAATGTGTCATTGTCCTTTTCTGTGTCAACTACAACTAGACTTCCACCTGAAATACCTGCAACATCATGAGATTCAACATCACCTGTCAAACCCTCATCTCTATTGCCATAAGCATCTGCTGGTGACATATCTGGGTTGGCATCGGTTCCACCATATGGCATGGAGTCCCGTACAGCATCTGTTGATGGATTTCCAATCTCAACAGATGATGAAATGCTTGGAGACGAGTTAGATAGCACACTATCCAGTGGCTTACACTCAACGGTAATTTCTGATTCATTCAACTCATCCATTGAATATGCTAGTGATTCAGTGATGTTGTCAACATCTGATGCAGTCTCAACCATGTCAAATGAATTATTATCTGCTGATTCATAAGTTTCCTTCCCTTGTGGTGACTCTTGTGGTTCAATGGTAAAAGAAAAACTCTCTTCATTTGTAATGTCACTGCCTTCTTGTTCAACAGATGCTTCTGAGTCTGCATGAACATCTGCCTCATAGCTACCTTCTAACAAGTCAGGTGCCTCGGTGTGAATACTTGGGACATCAATATTAACAAAACTCTCACCCAACTGTGTCAAACTGTCTGTCGTCATGTTATCCTCTGTGGTTTGTAAGAAGCTATCAGAGACATTAGGTATACCTGTCATGTCAATAACTAATGCAGCAGCAGAAGCTGCTGGGAACTCTATGTTACTGATGGACGGAATCTGGGTGGCATCAACACTTTGTCCAGGATAGCTGAGCACTTGGAAAGAATCTGCAGCATCTAGATCACTGAAGCTCACTGTGCTAGACTCAGGATCAGTAAACTGCTGGGTTTTTTCATGCTCATCAGAACCTGACCTATCTGTTAAGGCTGGCTCTGTGAGGGTATCAGATCGGCCAGGATCAGAATCTGATTCCTCATCCTCATTTGGAACATTCTCACTCTTGATAAACTCATTCTTTTCATTTTCATGACCATCTAATTCTGACTTTTCAGTATGAATAACACAGGAACTATCAACTTCTGAACTAACAAGGTCACTGCTTGATGCAGTCAGACTGACAACAGTTTCCTTACTAAAAGAGTCATCGGCAACAGCCTTCACAAGAGCTGCATTTGTTGTTTTAGGGGCAACAGGTAGTGTTGGAATGTCTAAGCCAGTGAAAAAGGCCGCAACGGAAGGCACCTCGGGTTTATGAGACGTATCATTAGTATCAGGACTTACAAAATCATCAAAAAGATTAACATCACTACTTTTGCCCAAAGACTCAAAACTGAACTCATTGTACTGATTATCAGATATGTTTGAAACTTCACCTGAGCCAAATAAATCAATACCATGCTGACTTGCCAACTCTTCAAATGCAGATTCCAGATCTTCTGGAACAGGTTTTTTCTTTGGTTGACCTTGCCTGCTTACATTACCCTTCCCTTTATCAATCCCCCCTAACCCTTCCAAATTATCAGAGGGATCAGGTGACACTTCAGTCTGTTGCTCCCCAGGCAGTTTCTGATTGGTCACGTCTGCTTCTAAAACTGATGCAGATGACACAGATGTTTCCACTGAGAGGGTTGGATCAGTTGTGCTCAAAGATGGTTGCTGAAAAGGAATAAAGCGGTCATGTGAGAAAATGAATTGGACAAAATGAAGGAATGCACTATGGTAAATACTTTAAATCATTAGAGTTCAGAAGACACTAAGGCACCCACCATTTAATATTTTGTACTACTTCACTGGAACAAATGATATTTATTTTTAAAAAAAAAGGTCCTTCACAGTTCATCAAACAGTCAGTCCCTTGATGATTAATTGAGATTTGCATTTGTGATTTTAACATTAACTCTTTGGAAACCTCTGTTCAGTGAAAACTAGATCCAAATCTGACAATCCTGATAAGCAATCTTAATGATTAAAATAAACAATGCATATACTGCATTACTTCGATAAACCATTATGAGAAATTCAATGCTTGACACGGGGTTAATGCTGTCCACTTAAGACATAATACCCAAGCCAAATTATGGTTCAGAAATCAGGCAGAAAGATAAAAAGAACTTCTCATGCAATCAAAACAAGTTATATCAATAAAGAATTAAAACAAACTGATAAACTTTCTTCATCTCAACATGAGTAAAGTGATGCTTGTACAACTGAGCAATTTTATTTCTTCTTCTTTTTCAATTTAGGTAATTATTTCATTTCATTGGATCAGCTAAAAATGTCATTTTAAAAGTAGAATTACTCAATGACCTTTCTTTTGAAATAGTCTGACATGATATCCTGAATATAGGATTGTGATTCAACTTGCATAGGTAGGAGTACATTGCAACACAACTAAGCTAAGGCTACTTTACTACTTGTAACTGTGAAAGGGAGTTGGGTTTAACATTGCTTTCAACAGTATTTCAGTCATATCTTGTCGTGTCTCCCCGGAGTGGGAATAAAGACCCAGATAACACAGGTGAAAGACCTTGGATAGATTGCAGTTTCCAGATACCTTCTGCCATTTTGGTAAGGGGGTGTGACCTTGGATTGATTGCAGTTTCCAGATACCTTCTGCCATTTTGGTAAGGGGGTGTGACCTTGGATTGATTGCAGTTTCCAGATACCTTCTGCCATTTTGGTAAGGGGGTGTGCACAAGCTCCTTCCCAAATAATGCTTTCATAGTTTTTCAGCTGCCATTTATAGCAGTCTCGTGGAATTAACAGGGCGTTTGTGGGGCTGGCCCCTGACAAAATTCCTTGTGATAAAAGCTTTCATAAGCAGTTGTCATTATTAGTTGCCGAAGGAAATTAAATATACGTCTGTTGAAATGAGGCCGCAGTGCATGTAACTGCTCCTGCTGCATGCCATTATAAAACTTCCATTTTCGAGCAATGCTGATGTCCGATTTCCAATGTTTCTAAATGGCTTTGATATCCAATTTCAACGTTTAATCATATTAAACAATGCAAAGGCAAACTGTCACTTTTCTGCTTATTTTTAGCTTTATCCCCTACTTTTCAAATAGCCATGCCATTGCGTGCCTCTGTATTAGAAACATTTAACAAGTATGGCCACAGGAATCCAGTACAATGCAAATTGACCAAGGCCCTCACCACCTGACAACCATCAACACAGTATTGGTGCTCACAGACCAAGGATCAAACCCAGAGCTAGTGGAACTAGTCCAGCCAAAGGGGATAACATGAAGTGAGGCAGGTTTTAAACCATTACCACTTTAGTGAAACCAACAAGCACAGGTATGGTGCTGAGAAAAACTTCAAACATAATCAGGGCAAAACTGGGTTTCCAATCCAAGATCAAAGGTATCTGGCATGCTTAACTCTGTATTGCCAAATGTGGCACCTTACTAGGCCCCTTTAGCGATTGCAGCCCTCTGAGCCACCTTGCACCACCCTTGCACCTTTATTATTAGAATGACTACTGGTATTAATATTAGACTTATTGGAATAGAATCATAATATTAGACAGGTGATAATCCTTGATAAAAGAGAAACAGTAAGCATGCCAACCCCTAAATAGAAGAGCCAATCAACAAAGAAGTGACCCATGAAAGAGTATGTAGATTCCAGTGTTATTTAAGAAAAAGAACTCCAACAAAACAGAACTTGAAATAATTCATAGATGTGGCACAAGGATTAAACTACATTCCAAAGTCAATACAAGAAACAGTGTTAGGTTGGTTAAGGCTCACAAGATGAACTGAAGGAACTAAAGCTGACTAGAAAGCATTCATACATTAGGCAGACAAGCCAGAGCTCCCTAGCATACCATGTACCTGAAGTAGCCAACAAAGCTTGTTTAAGCTTTACTAGAACTGGGAACCTGAAAAGAACAGGATTGGTTGCATATTTACTATCACTAACAAATTCCTATCACAGGTCAATGTGCTTTAGTGAGTATGGCCGATTTTAGGCTGTCAAAATGCAGTCATAGCTAAACTATTGCTGGGCGTGGAATTAAACAACAAACAACAAAACTGCAGCAGTCTTTCAGCCATATTATTATAGAGAACACTTTGTATGTGTACGTATGTTTGGACTCGAACTCTTTGTCTTAAGCTGCAGAGTAAACACAAATACAAGCATACACTTAAATTCATGGCCAGGACAGTTAATGTAATAGTTTTGAACTCTAAAACAGATGAAAAACGTTACTCATATTTCAGTCATACTTTATGTAAACAATGAAATCATAGACTAAGTACTTCATTTTGTGAAAAAATATCCATTAGCATTGAGTTGTTGTTTTACCTGTTATTACCGTACTAGTAATTACAATGCATTGTGTCTCTCAACAAAACAACCAACATGGCATGCCTATGTCTATGTAAGCATCTAACTAAATCAAATGACACATGATTAAACCCTTATTATGAGGGAGAAACTAGATCTTCAGATATTCCTCATCAAAGTACATCTCTTCAATGCATGAACATACCCCACAGGTATTTCTGACTCACCTACAAGCAATATTCTGAAAACACTAGTTGAAAAGATATATGCATATCTAATTTCCTTTAAATAAATTACAAAAGGGAGATAACTCTAATGATCACCAAACATCATTTGTAATGATACAAAAAGGCTCAGTAATTAATTCATAATAAACAACAACAAAAACAACATGTTCACATTCTTAGATATCAACAATAACAAATTTCTGTACCAATTGATGGTATTATTATAACCAAGAGGGGATATGCATGCATAGTTCTGACTCTTTTATCATGCAAAATATTTCCCTGAATCAGTTCAGAATAATTGTATTCTAAATGGTAAATATTATGTTAAAAAAGTGTGCCCTGAAAATAGAAAAATCTCTTCCATGCCTGTATGTTTATCAGTATAAAAGATGAGTTCTTAGGAAAACAACATAGATTAGTATTAGAATCCAAGCCACGGTTAATGAATAGACGAAGCATGCATACAACTATTTTTGTTCTAACCCATTCTATAATCATGCTGTTTCGTTTGCTGTTGATCAAGATTTTTCATTTAACGAAACCCGACTAACTAGGGATCTTCAACTGACAAGGAAGTCACTTAAAACAGAACATCGCCATGGTTACAAATAATTTAACACAACAAAAAATCTTCATCATTATCATCACTATCAAAATATGTTAACATGTTTATTTAGCTATTTTAGTATGTGTATGGATATGTATCTGTGCAGTTTGTTGACATATTCATTAACTGCATAACCTGATCGTGTAAAACTTTATAATAATCATAGTTTCAGTCATGGTTAACTTGTCACAAAGGCCATTAAATAGAACTGCAGAAATATATCGCCAGTGTAGGGCAAGAAGAAATCTTACAAAATCTCTGAAAAAAGAAGTACATCCATCCACAAAATATACATAATTGTCTTTATTTCATCTTCCATTACCACAGGTCAATACCCATTATCGTCATGATGAGGAGGATGTAGATGACAATGATGACGATGATGATGATGAAAATGAAATGCTTTTAATAACACATTGCACAGTTGTGGAACCTAACAATGTTGAACACAAAACATAATAATTTACTTTTTCCATTTCATTGATAAATAAATACTTTGTTTACAATTAATGCTTTTAATTGATGAAAATACAAAGGGATTTTGAAAACCTACATTTAGCAGTGCACATCATTGTTATTTAGGATTATGAAGCATTCGAAACAGATTAACAATACACAATTAGTATTTGTGGGAGAAAACTAAACATCAAAGTTGTGCCATTAGTATCCCACTGTGCAATGTGCCACACCGAACCCATTGTTACCACAGACTGGTTACCATGGTTACAACATTGTGACGAGGAGACCCATTGATCTACAACAGCAAGCAGCAAATGAAACCAAAAAGGACGCAGCATGCTAGTGTTACGATTTGACCGAGAAGCATACCTGAATAAACAAAGAGTCGTCAGTCCGAGAGCCGGACGCTAAATCTTCCACTTTGTCATGCAATCCTGCTGGGGCTGTTTCAGTTAGGCGAGATTCAGGCTGGTTAGATTCTGGGCTCAGATTAGTATCTGAGTCGGAGTCCATGTCTACGTTATCAAATAATGAGTAAAAAGGTGTCCGGGTATTTTTTGTGTTAGTAAAGGAGTCGTGTATACTACGATTAGTGATGAGATCGGATACATATGAACGAGACGTCCGGCCTCGTTGTCGCTTTACCTCCGAAGTTGAGGCAGTCGAGAGACGTATGGAGGGATCACTAGTTCCGAGAATATCCGGGCTGACACTTTCAAGCGGAGACTGGATGCTGCCGCTGCTCCTGTAGCTGAGGGAGTCGCCATCCATCAACCAATCAGACATGTCAAAACTAGCCTTGGGAGTGTTACTAGTCCTATCACGGCCCACAATAGACTCGCCCATAAAATCGTCCCACTCAAAATTATCTTGAGAGGCGAACACATCGTCAAAGTGGGCATCAAATTTAAGATCTACGGAGCTTGTATCGGAGGGTGAGGGCATCACGTCCTCTGGAATGGTTTCTAATGGCGGCCGTTCAAACACTCTTGGAGAACTGACACCTTTAGAGAGGTAGAGTTCACTAGCAAGTCTAAGGTCAAGATCCTCATCTGAATCTGTCACTTCATCACTTATGTTATCCTGGCGTTCATCCAAATTATCGGAATCATCGTCGTCTGCATCAAGATCTGTCACCTGAATGTGCCGTCTTCTGTCCTCGCATACATAAGAACTGCCACTGTTTGAAGAGTCAGACGAACTATCGGATTCAGAGGAACTACTTTTACTCTCATCATCACTCACATATTCTACACATGTACCTACCTTCTCACCGGAGGGCGCTGCTCCATCAAAGGAACTGGGCGCATCTGCCAGCTCTGGGGAACTCACACACACAGCACTGTCTGATGAAGATTCAGCCCCACTTGTGTTTTCCTCATTAGAGTCTGATTTGACAGACTGATCTGCAGGAGTTTCATATCCGGATGTGCCATTGTCCAGAGCAAGGTCTGACGGCTTCACATTCTCACCTTTAGAAACAGGTTCATCCGCTAATCTCTCATTGGATTGGAATGTACTCGGAATTATACTCTCAGCCTGAAAGTTACGAGACGACACTAAATCTATATCATTAGAAAGAAAATTCTGTGGTTCTACATCAGTGTCACGTTTGGTGTCAGATGAAGCCGTCTGCTTACCTGCAGGATCAGCTTTGCTGTACGGCTCATCAAATCCTGAGACAGGTGACTCTGCATCACCTTTAGATGAAGATTCACTGAGTAGTGATTGGTTTCCTTTGCCAGGCAACAGCTCAGCACTAGCATCTGGCTGAGATGACACAGGTTTTATCTGGTCTGCAATATCACCTTGCCCGAACAAATCTGCAAAAGGATCTTTATTGTTTGCAGGTGCTTGTTCTGGCTTATTCCCCTCCAGTGCTATGTCTGATGCAAGTGTGTTATGCTGATTTTGTACATCTTGTAGAGGTTCCCCAACAGCTTCAAGAATATGCAGACTGGATGCTGGCTTGGTTGGGGAAACTACAGGTTTTCCTCCCAACAAATCAAACTGATCTGATGACACAGGCAAATCCTCCTCCTTGTCTAATGCTCCCAGAAGATCTGCAGCTGTGTCTTCCTTTGGCACATCAATCAAAACATCAGGTGTCTTCTCCTCTGATGGCACTGGTGAAGCTAAGGAACTGGAATTGCTTTTGGTCGAAGCTGCTAATGCTACACTGAATTCATCTTCAATTTTTCTACTGGTTCTCGACCCCGATCCCGATTTTTGTTGTTTCTGACTGACATCAGGTTCAGCTGGGGTTGGTGCTAGGTCCATGATGGGAGTGCTGGTCATGTGAGCAGGCAGTGTATGGCGAGAGGGTGTGGGTAACTGGGCCAGTTTGCCGGCCAAACTCGGCTGCATGTTGACAGCAATATGGTCACCATTGGTCACTGAGGTGGACATATTGTCCTCAATTTTCACTGAAAAGAGTTCCTCTGCTTTGGCAGGTTGATCGGAGACTGGTTGTTGGGGTTCAGGTTTCGGGTCTGGAACAAAGTTGCTGTCAAAGCTAGCTGATGCCGGTCGTGTCTGCTGCTTGTGCTGTGGTTTGGCCGCCACAATACGTGCCTCGTGGGGTATCATCTGGTTCCATTTCTTTTCAAAGTTCTCTGCCTTAGTTTGATCACCGGCCACAATTTCATACAATCTCTGTAGCAGACCATGGGCATCCTCTATGCTGGGTCTCTGACCTGGGTTTAGCCAACAGAACAGCATCACCTCCACTCTGAAAGTAAAGGAAACAATTGCAAACCACATACTCTGTGATAAACCTTGAATTGTGACTCTGACAAGTATAAAAGTCTCAAGCACACAGACTTGTGTACCCAATTTCAAAGTTTTTCTCTCACACAATCTTCATCTTTTTATCTTACATTATCGAAGTCAAAATGCATCCAGACACTGTACCGCTTCACATCCATATCACAACACACGTGTTAGAGAAGTTAAGATGTGAGTTATCTCCCCTGGCCAGGTACCCGAGTCCCTAATGTAAGTTTTGTAACCCACTGTTTTCCCACTGAGCCAGGTGATGAAAGCGTACTCAATCTTACATGTCATGACTTCAGTTGTGTGTATACTGCACATGGTCTTTCTCTCCCACGTTTTGATCAAATTCGTTTTATCCCGATGTTTTCTTATTATTTCTGGTATTTCTTGCACTTAGACGGTTCGTAAGTTGGACAAAACACCCCTCCTCAGTTTTGGTTGAAAATGTAAAACCTTTTCCCTTGCTCCCAGTTTTACATTTGCAACCAAAACCTCAGATACATGTTTTATCTTAAAAAACACATTTACAGCCACCAATAAAGCATTTGTGATGAGTTGAGCACCCAAAATAGACTTTCAACATCAAATCAAGTTGTGGTTATGTTGACAATAGGGCCAAATAAGTCCCCCAAGAAGTCAAAAGAGCTTTCTTTAAGGGGAATCACATTTTTAAAAAGTACTTGGATTTGGATCATCATACCCAAATGGATTGGTTGATCACACTATCAACCACAGGTTAGCATGGTCTAAACTTGATTGTGATACTCACAGTCATTGTTCTCAATACACTATACACATATACATGCTCACATTCTGTCCTTGAACAGTATGTTGACGTCAGGCTCTGGCAGTTTGACCATGCGGTCTGCAATGACCGTCTGCAGCACCTGGTCGTCGGCCATGTTGCCATACGGCTGCTTGCCAAACATCAGCATCTCCCACAGCAGCACCCCGAACGACCTGAAGAAGACATCCCTCATCATCACTGCCTTTCATCTGGGCGACTCAACATCATCTGTAGATGCCTCTCATTTCAGACTAGCGGTTTATGTAAATTAACTTGGAGGAAAAAGTCATAGATTTTCACTTGTCTTGCTTGCAGGACTTTGATTCAATAATTATGTGGGACAAAAAATTTGTCAGAAGCTAATGAAAATAAGTAAAGTTAGTTACATGGTGGCCCTGCGCCATGACTGGAATTTATATATACATTTGTTTTACTAAAAGCCTAGGCAAGTCTAGATCAAACTAAACCATGTCTAATTTCCTCAATTCCACATATGAAAACAGCAGAAGAGGAAAGGTTCTTTTTAAGAAATAAATAAATAATTATTTTAAAAAAATGTCTTCATTGACTAAGTGTTAGTCTATGAAATCAGCAGAAGAAGAAAGATTCTTTAAACCTTTGCACGCTAATGTCGAACCCATTCAACAGAGGTGTCACTTCCCGTGCATCTGATGTCGAATCCATTCGACAGGCGGATAGCATAACGACTCCCCAAAATAAAACTCGCCATATCTATTTACCAAGAAGGCTTTGCGTAACATTTGAATTATGTATGACATGCATAAATGCTCAGCTTGCTCAATATTAAAACTTTCACTATTAGTCAATAAAAACATTCCTTTTTTTCCTCAAAAGAACCCATCTTCTTCAGCTGTTTTCATAGTATTATTTAAAAGGAATGTTTTTACTGACTAAGTGATAGTCAAGTAACATGGCTGAGCAATCTCGCAAAGGACTGGGTTTGGCTGTGGGGGTAACTAGTTCAGACTAACAGTCAAAACTATCGAGGTCAAGTACATATTATTTGAGTGAGTGAGTTGGGTTTAACGCCGCTTTTAACAGTATTCCAGTTATATCACGGCGTGTCAGCTTAATGTGGGAGGAAAGCCCGAAGTGATGCAGGTCTTAGACGTTTACCACTTCGGTGAAACCCACGAGCACGGGTATGGTGCTGACAAACCTAGAAACATAATCGGGGCGAACCGGGATTCGAACCCACAATCATAGGTTTCTGGCGTGCCCAAGGGACGCAACTCTGCACAGCGATTCGCGGCGCCTTAGAAGACTGGGCCACCCGTGCCCCCACATATTATTTGAACATTTGTTACAATATGGTCATCAACGTTGAAATAGTATAAAAACCAAAGATGACTTGATTATGTGTAATAATCTTTCATAACATGATGTTTGCCCATACATTTGTTGGTGGTGAAAACTGCCTACAGAAAGTGCCTGTCTATAGGACCAGTAATAATGTATGGTTTTAGGCCTTTTGATAATATTCAAGCCACATTCTGGCAGGGCAGGTCAATAATGGGCTTCACAGGTTGCACCCATAATGCTAATGAAATTAGGACTTTGGCACAGCGAATGATAAATGATCTAAACACTACCCAACCACCACAATGAGGGTGTGAACAAACAAACCAACAAACCAGCGTGCAACATTAGCCGCTAGTTCAATGGCCAAGACAGACAGATTGATAAACATAATGATGTCCCATGCAGTTGGAGTAAGATTACACTCAAATCAAGCAAGTCACCGAGCCTGACCACCCGATCCATAAGTTGCATCATGCGAACAGGTTGCTGGGGACTTATTCTATCCTGGAATCACCATGGGCTTACTTCTAGTACGCCAATAGGTAAGTAACGGACGATAACCCACCCAATCCATTAGTTGTATCATGTGAACAGGTTGCTGGGGACCTATTCTATCCTGGAATCACCATGGGCTTACTTCTAGTACGCCAATAGGTAAGTAACGGACGATAACACACCCGATCCATTAGCTGCATCATGCGAACAGGTTTCTGGGGACTTATTCTACCCTGGAATCACCATGGGCTTACTTCTAGTACGCCAATAGGTAAGTAACGGACGATAACACACCCAATCCATAAGTTGCATCATGCGAACAGGTTGCTGGGGACCTATTCTACCCTGGAATCACCATGGGCTTACTTCTAGTACGCCAATAGGTAAGTAACGGACGATAACACACCCAATCCATAAGTTGCATCATGCGAACAGGTTGCTGGGGACCTATTCTACCCTGGAATCACCCTGGGCTTACTTCTAGTACGCCAATAGGTAAGTAACGGACGATAACACACCCGATCCATAAGTTGCATCATGCGAACAGGTTGCTGGGGACTTATTCTACCCTGGAATCACCATGGGCTTACTTCTAGTACGCCAATAGGTAAGTAACGGACGATAACACACCCAATCCATAAGTTGCATCATGCGAACAGGTTGCTGGGGACCTATTCTACCCTGGAATCACCATGGGCTTACTTCTAGTACGCCAATAGGTAAGTAACGGACGATAACACACCCAATCCATAAGTTGCATCATGCGAACAGGTTGCTGGGGACCTATTCTACCCTGGAATCACCCTGGGCTTACTTCTAGTACGCCAATAGGTAAGTAACGGACGATAACACACCCGATCCATAAGTTGCATCATGCGAACAGGTTGCTGGGGACTTATTCTACCCTGGAATCACCATGGGCTTACTTCTAGTACGCCAATAGGTAAGTAACGGACGATAACATACCCGATCCATAGGTTGCATCATGTGAACAGGTTGCTGGGGACCTATTCTACCCTGGAATCACCATGGGCTTACTTCTAGTACGGCAATATGTAAGTAACGGATGATAACACACCCGATCCATTAGTTGCATCATGCGAACAGGTTGCTGGGGACTTATTCTACCCTGGAATCACCATGGGCTTACTTCTAGTACGCCAATAGGTAAGTAACGGACGATAACATACCCGATCCATAGGTTGCATCATGCGAACAGGTTGCTGGGGACCTATTCTACCCTGGAATCACCATGGGCTTACTTCTAGTACGGCAATAGGAAAGTAACGGATGATAACACACCCGATCCATTAGTTGCATCATGCGAACAGGTTGCTGGGGACTTATTCTACCCTGGAATCACCATGGGCTTACTTCTAGTACGGCAATATGTAAGTAACGGATGATAACACACCCGATCCATTAGTTGCATCATGCGAACAGGTTGCTGGGGACTTATTCTACCCTGGAATCACCATGGGCTTACTTCTAGTACGGCAATAGGTAAGTAACGGACGATAACACACCCGATCCATTAGTTGCATCATGCGAACAGGTTTCTGGGGACCTATTCTACCCTGGAATCACCATGGGCTTACTTCTAGTACGCCAATAGGTAAGTAACGGACGATAACACACCCGATCCATTAGTTGCATCATGCGAACAGGTTTCTGGGGACCTATTCTACCCTGGAATCACCATGGGCTTACTTCTAGTACGCCAATAGGTAAGTAACGGACGATAACACACCCGATCCATTAGTTGCATCATGCGAACAGGTTTCTGGGGACCTATTCTACCCTGGAATCACCATGGGCTTACTTCTAGTACGCCAATAGGTAAGTAACGGACGATAACACACCCGATCCATTAGTTGCATCATGCGAACAGGTTGCTGGGGACCTATTCTACCCTGGAATCACCCTGGGCTTACTTCTAGTACGCCAATAGGTAAGTAACGGACGATAACACACCCGATCCATAAGTTGCATCATGCGAACAGGTTGCTGGGGACTTATTCTACCCTGGAATCACCATGGGCTTACTTCTAGTACGCCAATAGGTAAGTAACGGACGATAACATACCCAATCCATAAGTTGCATCATGCGAACAGGTTTCTGGGGACCTATTCTATCCTGGAATCACCATGGGCTTACTTCTAGTACGGCAATAGGTAAGTAACGGACGATAACACACCCGATCCATTAGTTGCATCATGCGAACAGGTTTCTGGGGACCTATTCTACCCTGGAATCACCATGGGCTTACTTCTAGTACGCCAATAGGTAAGTAACGGACGATAACACACCCGATCCATTAGTTGCATCATGCGAACAGGTTGCTGGGGAAATCAGCACCGGTGGGGAGGCAGCAATTTATCTGTTTTTTACAGTACATGAAATTTGGGCAATGATTCTAAACTGATAAGCATTTAACTGTTAATCTCAGCCACCATGACTTTAGTCAGTAGTCCACAAATGCACAAATCAGAGGTGTTCGGTTTATCAAGGTTACACTCAGGTGCTAATGCTAATATAGGTACAACTAGTTACAGTATTCATTCAAAAAATATTTGGCAAAGTGCAAATAAGGGTGCAAGTAACACTAATATAGGTACAACTAGTTATCATTGTATTTCATTCAACAAATATTTGGCTGTGTGCTATTATAGGTACAACTAGTTATCACTGTATTTCAATCAACAAATATTTGGCTGAGTGCTAATAGAGGTACAACTAGTTATCACTGTATTTAAATCAACAAACATATGCCTGTGTGCTGACATAGGTACACAATGCTTGGATAGCATTGCCTGAAAAGTGATGAGTACTGTAGAACTAAATGTTGCAAGAGTCCATAGGGAGGACCGTTACAGTAATGCTTACATTATTTGCACAATAGTATCTTATCATCTTTACCTTGAATAAAGGTAAGCATTATTTTGAAAATTATGGTTTAAATTTATGAAAGCAAACATACCGAAATATCTTACTGTCCTGATCCCTGAATTGATCTCGTTACCTTATTAACAATTTGAGACTCAACCAATGACACATCACTGACCAGAGACTTCAAAACACTGTAGGTCCACCATGCACATCTCACTCACCAGATATTTGCCTCCCTGGTGATGACGGCTGTTTGCCAGTTGCCTGATTGCTGACTGAGGGACTCTGGAGCCATCCACCTGATGGGGAGACTCTCCTTCCCACTGACGAAGTAGTCATCCTGTCAACATCAACATCATTGCTGTAGGTCTTCATTACACGTACATCAGAAAGTGTCATCTAACCCCCATGGCATGGGACTGTTGTCCAAAATATTGAACACTGGTTTGTCTGGTACAGACTTGACTGTCATACAGCTGGAATATTGCTGAGTGTGCTGTAACAGACAACTAATGGGATCGGGTGGTCAGGCTCTCTGACTGGGGCATGTCATCGTATCCCAATTTGGTGGATCGATGCACATGATATCAATCACTTGACTGTCTGGTCCAGACTCGATTATTTACAGACTGTCGTCATATAGCTGGAATATTGCTGAGTGCGGCGTTAAACAACACACTCTCTGCAACCAATGTTGCTAAGCTTCGTCTGATTTGTGACCTGTGTGCTGTGCACAGGATCACATACTACTATGTTACATGATTATGAGAACACGCTGTTTAAACATACCTTGAACACATCCTCGGATATCCCATAATCCCCTATTTTGACCGTGTAATCTGACATCACCACACAGTTTCGGGCTGCAAAATCCCTGCAACAAAAATGTTTTGTTATAACATTGAAAGTGTTACAGAAAGTAAAAATATATTATAAGCTTCCTTGTAAATTTGTTCAATTCTATCAGGTATGTTGTTTAACATTTCACTGCTGATTGAATGAGAATGAAACTGTGATGGAAACATACACAAAGTGACACAAAAAATACATGTTGGAGTACATGTGCACCATGAAGTTACATTAACAGTAAAATATGGATTCAAACTCAGGATCACTTACTGGTGTATGTAACCATGGCGATGTAAACAAGCCAATCCACTCGCAGCATCAATGGCAAACTTAACCACCTGGTAGTTCTGCATCATAACTTCAGCTCGATCCTTCAATTTCTTCACGCACGTCTTGAGGTCACCCTACAGCACACACACACAATGACCAAGTAACATACTCAAGCATTGAAACAGTGATGCAACTTAGCATCAGCCAGCTAACCAAAGTCAGTTCGCTATGTCAAAGGTATCCGGAGGGCTTTGCAGAAGTAATGACCTAATTCAATATCATGAACTGGTTTAAGTTATTACTGCAGAATTCAAAAAGTGGCTTCTAGCGCCACCTTTGTTAGGTTGATCCTATTGAATATTTTAACTTCAGCATGCCTCGCTGAAGATTTTGTAAATGTAGAGCTGAGGTGCCATGGGTCCAAGATTATTGCACTTACATGCATGTGTGTGTGGGGGGGAGAGGGAGGGAGGGGAAGAGAAAGAGAAGGGTGTGTGTGGCTGCCTGTACTAGTCCTGACTGATTTATAGTGCTAGCTCACTGAGATACCATGCCACAGTTTTAACATGAATACCCAACTCAGACACAGTAATATACTGACTCCGAGCCGACCAGTCCACATTTTAGCCCCTAAATGGCAAGCGCCAGACAGGGAAGCAACAAGTATCCCGGACTGTTCGGTCTTGTAAATGTAGATGCTAATGATGCACCATGAGGTAGACAGAAAAGAACATTAGGTTCAGATGGGGCTAAAAGTGTGGCCGATGCAGACAAAATGAAGGATGTAGAAGGGTGCAACTTTAATATCAAATATCATTTAGAGCAAGTGACAGAGACTTTGCTTTGAACAGTATTTCAGCCACATCATGGCATGTCAGCTTCATGAAGGACAACGTTCCAGACGATGAGGTCTAAGATATTTACTACTGATAAACAAAGAGTAGCAGATTCAGCCAAATCTTGGTCAATGCTTAATGGTTTCTAACCTGCCTTTGGACATCTTCCTGAGTCAAGGGTGTTAACTGACCATAAAAGTCCAGTTTCCACCCTTGCCGATATAGACTAGAATTGCTGAGTTACATTTAGGCTTGACTTACGAGTCTATGCATAGTTCAATTAAAATAGCTTAACGAATTTGACATCCGGTTCCTAAACAGCTGCGCAGATTTTGGTTGACTGAAGGATTTGCAAAGCATGTGTACCGACAACATAGCGTCAACAGATATTTCCAAATGGACACCAAGTATGAGTTTTAAATAGAACCATGGTCATCAGCATGATAAGCTAACGCTTCATCCAGTGGGCTAAGCCACAAGTCATTTATACCTCTACCCGGCCGTAACAACTCTTATCTATGATACATACCATCTGAGCATACTCCAGAATCATGAGATAGGGGGCGCTTTCAGTACACTGGCCCAGCAGACGCAGCACATTGGAGTGTTCCAGTTCCCTGTACAGATGCCATCATCTCAGTCATAATGTACAAACCATACTAATCACAATGAGGCTCAAACAGTAAAAGATTTGTTTTCATGGTCCACAAAATGAAGAAAACAAACATTTTGATTATCTAGTAGAACACCTTTTGACAGAACACACACAAAACACCAAGGAGATTGTCAAAAGTTAGTTCATTCTGCTCCAAAAACAAATCATCATTTACATCTGAGCCTTTCAAGAAACAAAACATTAAATTCTCATAAGATTCCAATTCTGATTAAAATGAGTTGTTAGGAAATCACTACCTGTAAGGTACTACATCCTCAAGGAAGAGTTTCTTCTCCGAGTTAGATGCATCATCTCTCAAGACTTTGGCCACGACACGACTCAGAGGAATCCCTGTTGTAATGTGCTCTGCATCAGACTCCAGTACCTACACAACATGTGCAGGTGAGCGAGAATGAAAAAGTGAGAAAATTCAAAAATAAAATAATAAAAGATCTAATTTCAAAATTGTATGTCTATTCTTTGCTTCTGCTGAACTATTTGAAGAATAATCTGTGTGAACAATATGGGCAGTAGCCATTCCACATTCAATGGAAGAATCCATTTTCATTGATCAGAGGACTGTGGTGGAGTTGCTCTTAGTGTTTTCATCATCCGCCGGGTCAACTGGCTCAAGAGCAAAGCTAACACCCCTGCTGTTGTTATTGACTGCACGGATTATGTTGATCCTCCGGTTCAATTATAAGGCTGTGATATTTCTTGTTTGTTTAGCAGGTGTTACTACTGTTACCTGCTGTTTAAACATACCTGTCCAAACCATCCAGTTCCAATTTCTTTCAAGTAGGTCAGCTGTCGCCTTGGGAAAGGGTGAGGGTTATTTATTACTGAAAGGTACAGAAAATATTCATCAAGTTTGGGGATGGAGCGTGTGTGTCAAGGGTCAAGTCAACACATCACTTTATATAGTGTTCAAATCATTTTTAAAGTGCCTTTCAAACATAATTTTATTAACATCCAAATCTTTCGGACATTTTGGAGACAAATCTGGCGATGTACCAGTTATAACCAGCCACATTTTATAATTAATAATTTTGGGCAATGCTGAGAGAATGTCATTTTACTCCAGTCAATATTCCAGAAATATTCACTGCCTTGGAATCCTGATGAATGATGAACGGGGAACTATTCTGGCATCCCCACTGGGGAACAAGTTGGCAACTATCCTGCCCCAGAACCACACTTGGTGCCACGACTTGCCTAAACCCTCCCTGGGAGATACACCCTTGACCTGTCTTACCAACAAGCTTGAAGGCTGCCTCTTGCTTTGTCTTCTCCACACATGCTATCTTTGGCTTCCTGGGTGTGGACTCGGCCAGCAGCTCTGGTAGGGGTTCGATCTGAATGGTTGTTGACATTGTCTGATCTCTGGTGTCCACATCTTGACCCATGGCGAAGCCAGGGTTGATTCTCGCTTCCATACGAGAATCCTCATTTTCAAAAGTCTGAAGTACATCCATATCACCATATTAAGATCGAGAAAAAATTCATCACAAATAATTTCAATTGTATCAAATACTAAAATGCAAACTGGTACCATTATAGTGAGTGAGTTAACGCTGCTTTGAACAGTATTTCAGTAATATGGCGTGTAATCCTGATGCGGGAAGAAAGCCTGAAGTGATGCAGGCCTAAGACTTTCACTACTTGGTAACACCCACGAGCATGCATCTTCCCAAGGCAAGAGAGTTAACTGACTATAAAAAGTCCAGTTTCCACCCTTGCCAAACTAGGCTGGAATTTTAAGTTTTATTTTGGCTAGACTAATGAGTCAATGTATAGTCCAATCAAAATGGCATAACAAAATCAACCAACGGTCGATTGCTGGATTTGTAAAGCATGTGATTTGTAAAGCATTTGATGCACTTCACAAAGTAAGACATTTACTACAATCTTAATCAATATGGAATCTGAAAGGTCAAAAAGAGGGACATGGAAGGGACATAACCTGTAATTGCCACTGGTCGCGCTACGATCGAGCCCAGAAATTCCAGGACAGTTCGGTAAGGGTGGAATCTCTTAGGTAACTACCTTGATTCGGGAAGATGATGAGCATGGTAAGAATCAAGGCAAAATTGGAATTCAAGCTTAAGACAGGTTCCTGGCATGCTGAAGGAACACAACTCTGCACAGCAAACTGCAGCGTCTTAACAGCTAAACTAGTGGGCGAACTGTCTGTAACTATTCAGTGTCAAGCAGTTCACAGTCTTAGCCTGCTTACATTAACAATGAGTCACTGACTGAATGCATAGTGTTACAACCCTCCTGAGTGAGGGAGTTGGGTTTACACTGCCATTAGCACTATTCCAGCAATATCACGACGGGTACACCAGAAATGGGCTTCACACATTGTACCCATATTGGGAATCGAACCCGTGTGTTCGGCGTAATGAACAAACACTTTAACCACTGGGCTACCTCATCACTCCCACACCCTCTTGAGCCAGCTCGTCAACAGTGAGTGAGTGAGTTTGGTTTTACGCCACTTTTAGCAATATTCCAGCAATATCACGGCGGGGGACCCAGAAATGGGCTTCACACATTGTATCCATGTCAGGAATCGAACCCAGGTCTTCGGCATGACAAGCGAACGCTTTAACCACTAGGCTACCCGACTGACCACCTCGTCAACAGAGATGAGGTTCAAGTTTCTCACTCTCCCATGGGAATATAACCGGGTGCCCAATCAGTGCTCAAAGAAGATGCTAGTAGTACTAGACTGGTAATCAGAACTGAAGCACCACCAGGAAGTTGAACAGGAATGAGTACTGCCTTTCCAAACCAAGTATAAGGCATTACACAAGACCCGTGAAGATCTGGGGTAGAATAGGTCTTCAGCAACCCATGCTTGCCATAATAGGTGACTATGCTTGTCGTAAGAGGCGACTAACAGGATTGGGTGGTCAGGCTCGCTGACTTGGTGGATGCATGTCATCGTATCCCAATCGCATGGATTGAGGCTCATGATGTCAGTCACTGGATTGTCTGGTCCAGACTCGATTATTTACAGACCGCTGTCATATAGCTGGAATATTGCTGAGTGCGGGGTTAAAACAAAAAACAAACAAACACATAACCATATTATATTTGCTTTTATAGTGGTCACACAGGCACCCCCCATTTAGGACCCATAAACTTGTCACCAGGAGTCCAAAAAGACAAGGGCTGTGTATTGGCAAAATAATTGTATTGCAATATATTGAGATATCTGTACTGCTATCATTATTGCGATATATAAGATAGGTACGCGAAATCGCAAAGAACAATGAAGAACAAAGTGTGGTACATTTCACAATAAAACATGGTTCTATCATGACATTTTTTTAGATTCGAACACCTGCAACTTGATGACGTCATTTATTGGATGACATTATTTTTGAGAGGGAAGTGTATAGTGTGTTGTTCCCCATAAATGTAGCTGGGCAGTGCAAATAAATGCGATGGCCGAACGATGGCATCCAAAAATGGGAGCGTCGCTTTCATTGTAATAAAAAAGTTGTATATCCATAGAACTATCTCCCTCGGTCTGAGTCGGTGATCATACCAACTTCTAAATGCAACTTAAAGAAGTTATTGTTATACCATGTTATACCATGCAGTCCTAAAAAGACTCACAAATATATGGACCAAGCTAAAGACAGGGCAAAATAAAACAATACACAGCAGTAGTTCTGCAATATGCATCAATGTATAGTGGAAACATTAAAGGGGTCCGTCCTACTGGTAATCCAGGCTAACTTGAAACCAACTCCCAAAACACATTTGAGACAAGTAGGCAGTGCAAAGAACGTGGGCAAATATCCTTGGCTTGTTACAGGTAGAGTATGTGAGTGAGTTTGGTTTTACGCCACTTTTAGCAATATTCCAGCAATATCACAGCGGGGGACCCAGAAATGGGCTTCACGCATTGTATCCATGTCAGGAATCGAACCCAGGTCTTCAGCATGACAAGCGAACACTTTAACCACAACGCTACCCGACTGTCCCCAACAGGTAGAGAGGGTGTATGCATGTTGTGCTTATGTAGGTCATGACAAAGAAACTGACTATGATCCCTTGGACACACGTTGCCCATGAGACTATTTAGAGGTCGGACAGGAAGATACCAGAATTCTTAGCAGAGACACGCACATATCCATCGGAACTACTTGTCACGGACCACCCGCTACCCCTTTCTTCATAATGGTATGCACCAGTGGGTGCCCCTCATACATAGTCATACAGGGTTAACTGTCAGGTATCTCAACTTACCCGGGCTTCCCAGTAAGTATGGAGTTACTTTCTTGTGATTTCCTTGTTGGTTTTACCAGAATACATTTCAGAAAAACTATTTTTTGGTGTGACACTATTGTAATTCCTTTTCCTATTCGGATTCCATATTCTTGATAAAACATGTATTCATATTTTTCACACTAAGGTTCAGCAAGTACATGTTGCTATATATCATACTGGACAAAATGTATCGGAATTAACCACATCAGTAGATTTTAGTCTCCTAAACTAAAGCAAGGTTGGATCAACTTGTTACCTTGAAACCCTCTTTTTTCCTCAGGCAACCCAGACACTTGATGAGCACCACCACCAGCAGCAGCAGTGGCGCCACCACAGACACGGCGACCACCACTACCATGTCTCACTTCATCTGGAAGAACAGGAAACGATATCAAACACTATCAGGACAATATACAACACAGTTAGAGCAGGGGCACCACCACGGACACGGCGACCACCACTACCATGTCTCACTTCATCTGGAAGAACAGGAAACGATATCAAACACTGTCAGGACAATATACAACACAGTTAGAGCAGGGGCACCACCACGGACACGGCGACCACCACTACCATGTCTCACTTCATCTGGAAGAACAGGAAACGATATCAAACACTGTCAGGACAATATACAACACAGTTAGAGCAGGGGCACCACCACGGACACGGCGACCACCACTACCATGTCTCACTTCATCTGGAAGAACAGGAAACGATATCAAACACTGTCAGGACAATATACAACACAGTTAGAGCAGGGGCACCACCACGGACACGGCGACCACCACTACCATGTCTCACTTCATCTGGAAGAACAGGAAACGATATCAAACACTGTCAGGACAATATACAACACAGTTAGAGCAGGGGCACCACCACGGACACGGCGACCACCACTACCATGTCTCACTTCATCTGGAAGAACAGGAAACGATATCAAACACTGTCAGGACAATATACAACACAGTTAGAGCAGTGGAGTAGGCAGAATAAAAACGAGGGTCTGGATGAAAGCATGGAGTAGACAACGAACAAGGGGGTCTGGCTTAAAGCATGGAGTAGGCAGAACGAACAAGGGGGTCTGGCTTAAAGCATGGAGTAGGCAGAACGAACAAGGGGGTCTGGCTTAAAGCATGGAGTAGACAACGAACAAGGGGGTCTGGCTTAAAGCATGGAGTAGGCAGAACGAACAAGGGGGTCTGGCTTAAAGCATGGAGTAGACAACGAACAAGGGGGTCTGGCTTAAAGCATGGAGTAGGCAGAACGAACAAGGGGGTCTGGCTTAAAGCATGGAGTAGGCAGAACGAACAAGGGGGTCTGGCTTAAAGCATGGAGTAGGCAACGAACAAGGGGGTCTGGCTTAAAGCATGGAGTAGGCAGAAAGAACAAGGGGGTCTGGCTTAAAGGGGAAGTGTAAACGCAAAAATCACTTTCTTTCTTTTTCTAAACAAAACGCAATTTTAGAATTAATTAGTATCTGTGTTTGAAAATATACACTCATTTTTTTCACAGTGAAAGTAGGAAAGCTCACAATAGTGTGAAAATAATGTGCCGTTATGAGGCCTTCGTTTTTCGAGCTAAACAGGCCTGAGTTATCCCCCTTAGATTATGACGTAATTGGTGCCAATTCAACTGGGTCCCTGTCTATTCTCAACGCAAAAGATATCAAGTACCAGTTTGCGGTAAAACAACATGGCCTACGACACACTCCGGCGCAGTGGTGACTCAGCATAACACTATGCTGGCTGGCATCTGAGACGCTAGAATCACACACCTTGACCTACACCACGTGAAGCGGCTCTAACAAAGCATAATGACGTCATAATGTTTATCAATTGGCACCAATGACGTCATATTGCAAGGGACATAAGCTATGGTGTTTTTGTTGTGGAAATAGAACACTAGGTAAATGTGAAAAATATAAATCGTTTTAATGGGAAAAATATGTTAATTAATTGTGATATTTTTATATTTTTGCCTATGACACTTCTAGGTTAACACTTTTAATGTAGAAAAAGTACAAGAAAAATAGGTTCATTTCCGTGTGAACTTGCCCTTTAAAGCATGGAGTAGGCAGATCGAAGTAAGGGGGTCCGGCTTAAAGCATGGAGTAAACAGAATAAAACGAGGGTCTGGCTTAAAGCATGGAGTAGGCAGAACGAACAAGGGGGTCCGGCTTAAAGCATGGAGTAGGCAGAACGAACAAGGCGGTCTGGCTTAAAGCATGGAGTAGGCAGAACGAACAAGGGGGTCCGACTTAAAGCATGGAGTAGGCAGAACGAACAAGGGGGTCTGGCTTAAAGCATGGAGTAGGCAGAACGAACAAGGCGGTCTGGCTTAAAGCATGGAGTAGGCAGAACGAACAAGGGGGTCCGACTTAAAGCATGGAGTAGGCAGAACGAACAAGGGGGTCTGGCTTAAAGCATGGAGTAGGCAGAACGAACAAGGGGGTCCGACTTAAAGCATGGAGTAGGCAGAACGAACAAGGGGGTCTGGCTTAAAGCATGGAGTAGGCAGAATGAACAAGAGTCTGGCTAAAAGCATGGAGTAGGCAGAACGAACAAGGGGGTCTGGCTTAAAGCATGGAGTAGGCAGAACGAACAAGGGGGTCTGGCTTAAAGCATGGAGTAGACAGAACGAACAAGGGGGTCTGGCTTAAAGCATGGAGTAGACAGAACGAACAAGGGGGTCTGGCTTAAAGCATGGAGTAGGCAGAATGAACAAGGGGGTCCGGCTTAAAGCATGGAGTAGACAGAACGAACAAGGGGGTCTGGCTTAAAGCATGGAGTAGACAGAACGAACAAGGGGGTCCGGCTTAAAGCATGGAGTAGGCAGAACGAACAAGGGGGTCCGGCTTAAAGCATGGAGTAGGCAGAACGAACAAGGGGGTCTGGCTTGAAGCATGGAGTAGGCAGAACGAACAAGGGGGTCCGGCTTAAAGCATGGAGTAGGCAGAACGAACAAGGGGGTCTGGCTTAAAGCATGGAGTAGGCAGAACGAACAAGGGGGTCTGGCTTAAAGCATGGAGTAGACAGAATGAACAAGAGTCTGGCTAAAAGCATGGAGTAGACAGAATGAACAAGGGGATCTTGCTTGAAGCATGGAGTAGACAGAATGAACAAGAGTCTGGCTAAAAGCATGGAGTAGACAGAATGAACAAGGGGGTCTGGCTTAAAGCATGGAGTAGACAGAATGAACAAGAGTCTGGCTAAAAGCATGGAGTAGGCAGAACGAACAAGGCGGTCTGGCTTAAAGCATGGAGTAGGCAGAACGAACAAGGGGGTCCGACTTAAAGCATGGAGTAGGCAGAACGAACAAGGGGGTCTGGCTTAAAGCATGGAGTAGGCAGAACGAACAAGGGGGTCCGACTTAAAGCATGGAGTAGGCAGAACGAACAAGGGGGTCTGGCTTAAAGCATGGAGTAGGCAGAACGAACAAGGGGGTCTGGCTAAAAGCATGGAGTAGGCAGAACGAACAAGGGGGTCTGGCTTGAAGCATGGAGTAGGCAGAATGAACAAGAGTCTGGCTTAAAGCATGGAGTAGGCAGAACGAACAAGGGGGTCTGGCTTGAAGCATGGAGTAGACAGAACGAACAAGGGGGTCTGGCTTAAAGCATGGAGTAGACAGAACGAACAAGGGGGTCTGGCTTAAAGCATGGAGTAGGCAGAATGAACAAGAGTCTGGCTAAAAGCATGGAGTAGACAGAACGAACAAGGGGGTCTGGCTTAAAGCATGGAGTAGACAGAACGAACAAGGGGGTCTGGCTTAAAGCATGGAGTAGACAGAACGAACAAGGGGGTCTGGCTTAAAGCATGGAGTAGACAGAACGAACAAGGGGGTCTGGCTTAAAGCATGGAGTAGGCAGAATGAACAAGGGGGTCCGGCTTAAAGCATGGAGTAGACAGAACGAACAAGGGGGTCTGGCTTAAAGCATGGAGTAGACAGAACGAACAAGGGGGTCCGGCTTAAAGCATGGAGTAGGCAGAACGAACAAGGGGGTCCGGCTTAAAGCATGGAGTAGGCAGAACGAACAAGGGGGTCTGGCTTGAAGCATGGAGTAGGCAGAACGAACAAGGGGGTCCGGCTTAAAGCATGGAGTAGGCAGAACGAACAAGGGGGTCTGGCTTAAAGCATGGAGTAGGCAGAACGAACAAGGGGGTCTGGCTTAAAGCATGGAGTAGACAGAATGAACAAGAGTCTGGCTAAAAGCATGGAGTAGACAGAATGAACAAGGGGATCTTGCTTGAAGCATGGAGTAGACAGAATGAACAAGAGTCTGGCTAAAAGCATGGAGTAGACAGAATGAACAAGGGGGTCTGGCTTAAAGCATGGAGTAGACAGAATGAACAAGAGTCTGGCTAAAAGCATGGAGTAGACAGAATGAACAAGGGGATCTTGCTTGAAGCATGGAGTAGACAGAATGAACAAGAGTCTGGCTAAAAGCATGGAGTAGACAGAATGAACAAGAGTCTGGCTAAAAGCATGGAGTAGACAGAATGAACAAGGGGATCTTGCTTGAAGCATGGAGTAGACAGAATGAACAAGAGTCTGGCTAAAAGCATGGAGTAGACAGAATGAACAAGAGTCTGGCTAAAAGCATGGAGTAGACAGAATAAACAAGAGTCTGGCTAAAAGCATGGAGTAGACAGAATGAACAAGAGTCTGGCTAAAAGCATGGAGTAGACAGAATAAACATGAGGATCTGGCTTGAAGCATGGAGTAGACAGAATGAACAAGAGTCTGGCTAAAAGCATGGAGTAGACAGAATGAACAAGAGTCTGGCTAAAAGCATGGAGTAGGCAGAACGAACAAGAGTCTGGCTAAAAGCATGGAGTAGACAGAATGAACAAGAGTCTGGCTTAAAGCATGGAGTAGACAGAATAAACATGAGGATCTGGCTTGAAGCATGGAGTAGACAGAATGAACAAGAGTCTGGCTAAAAGCATGGAGTAGACAGAATGAACAAGAGTCTGGCTTAAAGCATGGAGTAGACAGAATAAACATGAGGATCTGGCTTGAAGCATGGAGTAGACAGAATGAACAAGAGTCTGGCTTAAAGCATGGAGTAGACAGAATAAACATGAGGATCTGGCTTGAAGCATGGAGTAGACAGAATGAACAAGAGTCTGGCTAAAAGCATGGAGTAGACAGAATGAACAAGAGTCTGGCTTAAAGCATGGAGTAGGCAGAACGAACAAGAGTCTGGCTAAAAGCATGGAGTAGACAGAATGAACAAGAGTCTGGCTTAAAGCATGGAGTAGACAGAATAAACATGAGGATCTGGCTTGAAGCATGGAGTAGGCAGAACGAACAAGAGTCTGGCTAAAAGCATGGAGTAGACAGAATGAACAAGAGTCTGGCTTAAAGCATGGAGTAGACAGAATAAACATGAGGATCTGGCTTGAAGCATGGAGTAGGCAGAACGAACAAGAGTCTGGCTAAAAGCATGGAGTAGACAGAATGAACAAGAGTCTGGCTTAAAGCATGGAGTAGGCAGAACGAACAAGAGTCTGGCTAAAAGCATGGAGTAGGCAGAACGAACAAGAGTCTGGCTAAAAGCATGGAGTAGACAGAATGAACAAGAGTCTGGCTTAAAGCATGGAGTAGACAGAATAAACATGAGGATCTGGCTTGAAGCATGGAGTAGACAGAATGAACAAGAGTCTGGCTAAAAGCATGGAGTAGACAGAATGAACAAGAGTCTGGCTTAAAGCATGGAGTAGACAGAATAAACATGAGGATCTGGCTTGAAGCATGGAGTAGACAGAATGAACAAGAGTCTGGCTAAAAGCATGGAGTAGACAGAATAAACACGAGGGTCTGGCTTGAAGCATGGAGTAGACAGAATGAACAAGAGTCTGGCTTAAAGCATGGAGTAGACAGAATAAACATGAGGATCTGGCTTGAAGCATGGAGTAGGCAGAACGAACAAGAGTCTGGCTAAAAGCATGGAGTAGACAGAATGAACAAGAGTCTGGCTTAAAGCATGGAGTAGACAGAATGAACAAGGGGGTCTGGCTTGAAGCATGGAGTAGACAGAATGAACACAAGGGTCTGGCTTGAAGCATGGAGTAGACAGAATGAACACGAGGGTCTGGCTTGAAGCATGGAGTAGACAGAACGAACATGAGGGTCTGTCTTGAAGCATGGAGTAGACAGAATGAACATGAGGATCTGGCTTGAAGCATGGAGTAGACAGAATGAACAAGAGTCTGGCTAAAAGCATGGAGTAGACAGAATGAACAAGAGTCTGGCTTAAAGCATGGAGTAGACAGAATGAACAAGGGGGTCTGGCTTGAAGCATGGAGTAGACAGAATGAACACAAGGGTCTGGCTTGAAGCATGGAGTAGACAGAATGAACACGAGGGTCTGGCTTGAAGCATGGAGTAGACAGAACGAACATGAGGGTCTGGCTTGAAGCATGGAGTAGACAGAATGAACATGAGGATCTGGCTTGAAGCATGGAGTAGACAGAATGAACAAGAGTCTGGCTAAAAGCATGGAGTAGACAGAATGAACAAGAGTCTGGCTTAAAGCATGGAGTAGACAGAATGAACAAGGGGGTCTGGCTTGAAGCATGGAGTAGACAGAATGAACACAAGGGTCTGGCTTGAAGCATGGAGTAGACAGAATGAACACGAGGGTCTGGCTTGAAGCATGGAGTAGACAGAACGAACATGAGGGTCTGGCTTGAAGCATGGAGTAGGCAGAACGAACATGAGGGTCTGGCTTGAAGCATGGAGTAGACAGAATGAACAAGAGTCTGGCTTAAAGCATGGAGTAGACAGAATGAACAAGGGGGTCTGGCTTGAAGCATGGAGTAGACAGAATGAACACGAGGGTCTGGCTTGAAGCATGGAGTAGACAGAATGAACACGAGGGTCTGGCTTGAAGCATGGAGTAGGCAGAACGAACATGAGGGTCTGTCTTGAAGCATGGAGTAGACAGAATGAACAAGAGGGTCTGGCTTGAAGCATGGAGTAGGCAGAACGAACATGAGGGTCTGTCTTGAAGCATGGAGTAGACAGAATGAACATGAGGATCTGGCTTGAAGCATGGAGTAGACAGAATGAACAAGAGGGTCTGTCTTGAAGCATGGAGTAGTGAGGATAAACACAAGGGTCTGGGGTCGTGGGGAGAAGTACACCAGTGTAATAATATAAAACACTTAGAATGAGAGGGACTGACACAGGTTGACATATGCAAGGTGTCTGAAAAAAGAAGGAGTGCGCACCCGTCTGAATCCAACAGTGACCTTGTGAGAAAAGTCAATTAAAATGGGGATCAGGTAGTTACACTGACATCATGTGATTTGGCTGATTTGTCATTGTAGCAGCATATATCATTGCTGACTGTGTCGCAAAACATTCATTCACTCGATCATGACAGCCTGTGAAATAATCCAAACTGAAACACACAAGTGTGAACCATGCTCCTGGTCACCCGTCCACCTGCTATCTACACCCAGCATCCATTGTGTTTTGTACCATTGATGTTGGCCCTCAGAAGAAACATGGGCCCTTGAAATCAACTGCACTAGCATTCCACTTTGACAACAATTATAGGAACAGTTGCACACATCAAAGCTAACAATAAAACTTAAATAATTAAGTTGAATCAAGAGTTCTTATTTCGGAGACAGTTGATGATAAACATTGCGAAATAACAAACCTTGCTTGGATCACATTTGCAAATCTGTCAGACCCACCCACTGCAATCAATAGCGGAAATATGTAAATTAGGTCACGTTGAAAAGGTATAAAACTCAAACCCGGAACTAACGAAAGTATTTTGGATCTTTCACCTACATTCTTGCACAATAGCAACAGATCATGACAGAGTTCATTCGAAGCACAATGGTTGACCTTAACCAAACATATGTATCTGCGCAATATCATATATTTTGCACGTATTAAACAACAACTATTGCGCCAACATCAAGTCCTAAGCGAGAGTACACCTTGACAAAATGGGGGTATAAGATTCAAGTGTGCTAAAAAAGAAGTGATCAGATAAGGACTTTGGGGCGGTGGGGTGTGTATCGAAAACGTTGTTTACAAACTATCATCATGACTTACGTCATAAAGAATAATGTTTTCGTCGTGTACTGCACGTGTGCATTGTCCATGCGGGAGGCGTGTCCCTATCGGGTAGATCACACACGCGCACCTGTCACCGTCAAATGTCACGAGGGCTTTATTTTGGGTAGGACCCAACATCGACTCTTCCTAAAAACTGATTACACTTACAAATGTCGGAACCGACCTTCTGTTGATAACCGTATTTAGTTTCTTTGCGACACAATCATCAATCTTGATACCGGGGATTTGATATTAGAAATTGTGTTGTTTCTGTACAATCAAGAAAACATCTTGATAATTTAAAAAAAGATAGCTGGTTATTTTTAAATTAAATTAATTTTGCATTCACAAAAGCATTTATTGAATAGGTTACAACACGTGTACGTTATCTTAACTTGAAAACAAAGTTTAAAATAGTTTCATTGTTACTTGATGTAAATCAAAATAAGTTTTACTCTTTACAGAACTGTTAAAAATATATGTTAACAACACTATATTAGCAAAAACATTGATTTTTTTAATAACAGAATCCATATAAACTATGCACGCATTTTGGGGGTTTGCCAAGAAATCAGAAATATTTCTTCTGGCCAATTGCTTATTTACACTGAACTATTTGGATGGATACAGAATGAAATTCCATCATGTTCATTCCTATTGTATGTCTAAATATACATTAAATTTACAAATAAATCATCGGTGTTGGACGACGTGTCACAGCCAGATGTAGGTCGTACATTCCTAGGATAATCCATGCCTATTCATGTTGATTATAACCATCAGAAAACAGAAAACGTATCAAGATTTATTAAATGATCGCGAATAATACACTAGGACATGGTTTCAGGTGAGTGACTTTTCTAAACATTGGGTGATTGGTATCTAAAATGTCTTGAATATTTGTATTTAATATTAGTGATGGTATACAAGAATGTCCTATCAACATTTCCTAAAATGATAAAAGATGATCTTATGACATTTTTCTCCAGCAAAATCACTGTATGGATTTTTTAATTTGAAAGTGGAATATATTCCACTCAAAGTTTGTTAAGGAACACCCAATTCATTCGTATTACCACAGTTAATCTGTTATTTCACGACAGTTTATCTTTAGTAGTATGCAGAATTTGAGGATTATATATCCATATTTCTTGGGCTCTGTAGATTTTTCTTTTATTATTGCTTCACGTGCTTCCTCGTGGTGTGTGGCCACGAACTACCGTTATTATACTAAGGGAACTTGTTATCTGGAACAAAGCAAACACCGTCCCCTGTTACATTCTACAGAGCACAGCATCTTCCATCAGACTGTTACATTGGAACAACTTCCACGACGGGTCCGAATACCCGTGCAGTTTCAATATAGGTCTAGTCGTTGTTATTAGTGATTAATTTTCTTGTGGCTGTATATTCAGGGAAACCACTGTTAGATTGACAGACTGTTAGATATCCTAACAGTTGAGTTAACATACAAACACAGTGATGTTTGGATCGAACTTGCCAGTAGCGTCAGTTTGCACGGGGAGCCTTGCCATCCCTCTGTTTTGTGTCAGCGTGTTGCTTATATAATCTATGTGTACATTTTGGATGCAATCTTATCACAATCAGATCATTTACTCCGATAATATACTTATCGTTTCGGAGGTAAAATATGTCATTGAAATGTGATTTTGTTGTTGTTGGATGTTGTCTATTGGAGTTAAGAAATAAGAAAAAATATGTTCTTTCAATACTGACTTTGGAAATAAGATTAGGCCTAATTCTGATTATGATAATGTTGTCTGGTTATAGCCATGACAGTCCTACACAAAGCATTTATAGACAAACAGCCCACAGTGAGAGTTAGTACGTCTTTACTTTTCACACTGAATTGTTTAACGCGTGGGCCTATATAAATGTATGTTAAACAGTTGCAAATACCGTATCTTTACGCGTTGTGAAAACCCCGAACGACGTCTATGTAGAATTAGTCGTGAAGATAATATTACTTTACGAAGTCGAAAATCATGTTCGTTATTTCGTAAACAATTTGAAATGGCTTGAGCATGTTATTGGAGTAGAGCTTTTTATTGGAAATATGAAATGTTTTTATTGTGCAGATTAAAACAAAACGCGTTTATGTTATCTCGCTATATAGAAAAAATGCGAGATCTGTGTCATCAATGGCGGCGGTGATTCAAGAAGGAAGTAGGCAGTGACTGATCGACTGAAAAAGAGGCTTACAGGCGATCTTCAAGCTGTGCCCAACTTCTACACATGTTAGATTGAAAGAGGATGACTTCAGCCATGGTTGAGCACAAACACGGAGAAGGATTTAGTCTAGAAGGTAATATGTCCATCATGTTTATGTGGGGGAGGTTACTTTATAATTTGACATTTGGTGATAGTCAGTACGTGCTTTATGGATCTATGAGTCTGCAAGAATGATTCACCACTCGTAACCACTAACCATTCTATGTATTTGTATCCATAAAGGTACTTTTTGTAGACGAACAACACTATCTCAAGATAGAGTATTGTAAATTGTTTCTGCTGTCAAAATTTGAAGGTGTCAAATAGAGTGTTTACCTCCATCAGTGGACTTCATGTGAGATCACAGGTCAACGTGACAAATAATAACAAACGTATTCACGATTATCTGTAATAGATTACCATCCTCTTTATATAAGCCACATAATATTTGACAATGTGAAAAATACACTCAGATGGAATGGTGGATGATAATTTATGTTCATTGGTTTCTACATCTGATTTTGACATGTATCAGATGACTAATCAAGCATGTCATGGAAAGAAATTTTACGTTTGTTGACAATAACAACAAGTAACAATCACTTGAGTGACTTAGAATGCTCAGTTTTGTTTATTTTGAATATGTTAAATTAACACACATTTGTTATAAAAGAAGATAGGAAAAACAAATTGTAGAGTGTCACCACCATGGTCAGTGGAAGTTTTATGTGTTTTCCTCTAAAAAATACAAAAATTTTCTTGTCTTCTGTGGTGTTAGTGAAACAGCAATGTCCCTTTGCTGAATAAAAAATATATCACAATCTTGATTTGTCAGCATTTATGGAGAGAAAAACAAAACATACATAACGATTAACTGAGTAACCCTTGTAGGGATTCTGAATGGTCACCAAAATGAGGTTATCAATAGTCATCAAGTTACAATTTGTATTTATGTAATGTCTAGGTAACCAATGTTAACTCTTGAGAGGACACATTTAGGAATAAGCGGTTTTCTTATGAATTTTGTTTTTATCTCAATTTTGGAGTCTTATTTTATAGAAGGTAATGGTATAAAACCTTGTTATCAGGAATGTATCTAGGATACTAAACTAAATGCTCTCAACAAACAATTGGAAAATTATTGATTATTTTTAAAAGTTCTTATTCAGGGGCATTGTATTCTAACATTGCATTCAGTGCAATAATGTCAAATTTTGTGTTCACGGCTATTCCTCTTTATCATGTTTATAGATCATGTTATCAGTAACATACAAGTCACCAATGAACTTGGAAATCTTTACTTTCACTGACATTTGCTGCAGATTAATGGCCAAATATTTCACTCTGAGCAGATCCAGATTAATCCCTGCATATGGCGTGTCTGATGCAAATATGCATATGACAATCTCAATGTATTCAATACCATAATGTCAAGTTCACCTTACATTGGGATATTTGTTGATTAATAAAATTAATGTTGGTTAAGAAATTATGAAATGACCATGATTAGTAAGGATGAAATGATACATAGGTCAGTGTAGGTCACTACTCGATATATATCGCGATACACATATTTACGTCTAATCCCGTCAAAACTTCTTGATTATAAATAATGTTCAAAAGGAAAAGCTAGCTGAAGACACATGTTCATAGCGGCTATTTCTAGTAGTGAACTGGGAAGGCTAGTTACAGCACCTTTTGTGATATTTGATGGATAAAATTGCTGGGGGGTGTCATAAAACGAGTAGGAAGTAATATATTTAGCAAGTGTATCGTTTTGTATCAATACAGATAAAAGATATTTCATGTATCATATTGCCACATGGAAACTTATGGTGCACCGATGTATTGTTTCACCCCTAACCTTCAGACAACTGGTCAATCTCTGCTGGTCGATCTAATGGTCCCTAATGTCAGCCATTTTAACTTACATATTGCTGCCACAAAATATAATTATCACATGACGTTAAGTGTTAAGAAGGGGGAAATTGCCTTTGGGTGTTCTTTTATCCCAGTATGTATTAAGCATATTGAAAAGAGGTGTACAATGTCAGAAAATCAACAAATCTTTTTAAACTTAATGATAAAGTCATTGTCATCACAAATTACAAGGGGTTACTTTATGGATAAATCGTTCTCTTGTCAGGCCAAAGGACTGGGTTGATTTTCAACGTGAGTAAAATGTTTGACACCCATTTTTTGTGTTCTCCACCGGGTTTACCTTGGTTATATATATTTTGTGGGTCCAGGGAACTCAAATCCTTTAATTGTAGGGTCGCAGGTTAATAAATAGGAGTCCCAGTAACCAAATAGGGCCCCAGAGTAGACGTATAACGATACCATTGGGTTGTGATACATTACGTATCCTGATACAACATGTACAAAGGGTGCCTTACAATTCGTATCTTGATACAGTTCTTATATTTCATAAGTACATATTCTTCCAGAGAAATGTCAAAAATTGATTACAGTACTCAAATGTTGCTAGGAGATCGGGATACTTTCAACTGTGTATTTTATTTTATTAAATAATTATGGACAGAAATAGATTTTAAGTCGTACCAAATTATCAAATAGAAGCAATTACTCCAAAACATGCATACAAATTTCTGCATTTCAGGGACTACACTCTGTATTTGTTTTCCATCCTTTTTTAAATTTTTTACACATGTTAAGGCACATGTATATCCGTCCCCATAGTGATGAATGCTGGAATATTGCTAAAAGTAGCATGAATCCATATTCACTCACTCATAACTGAAAAACAATTAAGTGAGTCCTAAATCTTTATGACACAGTTGATTGTGATTATTTATTTACTTATTTCAAAATGCCTGGTCATATCTTGTTTCTTCAACTTAATGATAGTATGGTATGTATTGTTTCACCAA